TTCTAATATTGCCATTTAATGGGTATAGAGAGGCAGAATGTTATTTTTAACTTGGATTTTTCGGGTGACTGGCAAGTTGAAGCATCTCTTTGTGTCTTAGGTTTTGGGTTCCCTTCTATGAACTGCCTATGTGTATCTTTTGCCCACTTGTCTACTGGATTCCTGTCTTTTTCTCTGATTTACAGGCATTCCTTGTTTTTTTCTAAATGCTCATCCTTTGTTGCACTTTAACATTGCAAATACCTCCTCCTAGTGGTCTGTCTTTGTTAAGCCGGTGACTAAGGAGAATTTTTCCTGATGACTCAGAACTGAATTCAAGGACATACAACGGAGGACTCAAATACACCAAGTACTACACATTCTAGAAAGCCACAGTGTCCACAATATTTGGATTGTTTCAAGTTTTTGGTTTTTAGGAATAAAGCTGCTGTGGACATCTGCATCCAGTGAAGAAAGCTTTTCACCCTAGCCAGCGGATGGTTTTGCTTCTGTTGTTATTTGACACACAGTTGCATCCCACTCTGCTCTTCCCTCAATAACAGTCTTGTCATTTAATTTGATCTGTAATTGCCCTGGCCGGTGTGCTCAGTGGTCAGAGCACCAGCCCTCGAACTGAAGGGTCGTAAATTCGATTCCTAGTCAAGGGCATGTGCCTGGTTTGCAGGTTTGATCCACAGCTCCAGTTGGAGTCATGTGGGAGGCAACCAATCAATGTGTCTCTCTTGCATTGATGTTTCTCTCCCTCCCTTCCACTCCATCTAAAAATCAATTGAAAAATGTCCTCGCCCTGGCCAGTTTGGCTCAGCGGTTAGAGCGTCGGCCTGCGGTCCAGAGAGACCCGGGTTCAGTTCCCATTAAGGGCATGTACCTCGGTTGCAGTTTCTCCCCGGCCTGGTTGGGTCATGCATGTGGCAACCACTCGATGTGTCCCTTTCATGTTGATGTTTCTCTCTCTCTCTCTCCTACTCTATCTGAACAAAATACGGAAAAATGTCTTCGGGTGAGGATTAAAAAAAAAAAATCCTCTGGTGAGGAATAACAAAAACAAAATTGATCTGTAATCACATGTAAAACTATTTCTCACTCTCAATTCTGTTTTTTTCTTTATTGAATTTGTTGGGGTGACGCTAGTTAATAAAATTATATAGGTTTCAGGTGTACGATCCTGTAACACATCGACTGTATGGTGTTCACCACCCCAGGTCAGGTCATCTTCCATCACTGCTCATCTCCCCCTTTCCCTTCCCACCTCCCCGCCCCCCTCCCCTGCAATCGCGTGCTGCGGGCTGGGTATTGCCTGAACTTCCTTTGGTTCCAGCCCCCCTTCAGCACTGCCCCGGGGAGTCAGCGACACGAGGAGCTTCTCTGCTGAACGGGAGGAGTGTTTCTGAAAACTGGAAAGAATACCACCCCCATTCTGTGTGTGTGCTCAATGCAATGACAACAGACTCGACATATTAAGTTTAATCTTCACTGTCAGCCTTTTCTCTATCACTTTCATAAGTCTGGACAGTCAATAAAAGTCGGTCAGGCCCTTCTGCCGACACCCAGGGTGTAAACACCCCAACACTGCTGAGCCAGGCTGCCACCAGCGCCGGGGGGCCGGGAAACGCAGCAGTGTGCTCCCCAGGAAGGCCGCACTTCATGCCGTGCACAGGTTCTTGGAAACTGTGCCTTTAAGCAAAACGACAGACAGCAAAGCTGATCTCACCCGAAGCTAATTGATTCAAACGAGTTAAGGTCCTACGGCATATTTCACAAAAACATCACCAAACCTCTAAATAAACACCCCAAACATGTCTAACATTAAACATTAAAATAAACGTGAACTGTATATACATTTAAGAAAGACAAAAACAAGTAAGATATGATTTCCCAACCTGCTTATTCCAGTTCAGGGTCATGGCTAGCTAGGGTCTATCCTGGAAGCTCAGGGCACAAGGTGGAACCCCACCCTGAAAGGACCCCCTTCCATCACACAGCCACTCACACCCATGCCCACCCTCACTCACAGGGGGCCAGTGTGGACACACCATTCACCTCGGGGCACAGGGCTGGGATGTGGGAGGAAACCGAGGACCCAGAGAAAACCCACGCAGACCTAGGGAGAAAGTGCACCTCCACACAGATGGCCTGGCCAGGAATCGGCTTTTCCATCCAGGTTCTTGAGAAGCTCAGAGGCCCTGCTGTGCAGCAGTTCCGCCACTTGTGACACGAGACGTAAAGAACGCCTACAGTGTGGGTGACTGAAATGGAGTAAAACACCTCGTGAAAGGTAAAGCAGTAAAATGAATACAATGAAGTTAATTTTTTAAAATCCTCACCCAAAGATGTGTTCTTTGTTTTGAACTGATTTTTAGAGAGAGAAACACCCATCTGTGGTCTCCCATATGCGCCCGGACTGAAGATCAAACTCACAACCTAGGTATGTGCCTTGACTGGGAATCGAACCTGCAACCCGTTCGTGTACAGGACGACATTCCAACCAAACCATCTGACCAGAGCTGAAGTTTAATTTTTTTAAAAATATGTTTTTACTGATTTTTTTTGAGAGAGAGAAACATCAATCGGCTGCCTCCTGCACGCTCCCCACTGGAGATCGAGCCTGAAACCTGGGCATGTGCCCTGACTGGGAATCCAACCGGGACCTCTCAGTCCATGGGATGACACTCAATCCATTGAGCCACACTGACCGGGCTAAAGTTTACTTTTCAATAATGGCCGTGTTTCATGACAAGCTTGAAAAATCCCTGAGATTGTAACAACGGCTCCTGCGAGTGCGCCAGCTCCAGCCCGTGGCTGGGAGGGGAACGTGAGCCCTTACCCATCGTCCTGGAGGGACCTGTGCAAAGGCCCTCATCACAGACCATCTGTAGGGTAGGAACTGGAAGCAGTGGGGCTAATCCTAGGGGAGTAGAAAGGAAAACATGCTGGATTCAAGGTCTGGCACAATCTCATCTCTGCCCACTGAAGAGCAAATGCACACATAAGAACACTTTGTGTTTGTCAAGGACACACACATCAGGACACACTCCAAATACCCGAGAGTAGGGTGAGGTGTCTAGGGACAGAAGTGAACTTTGGGAGTGATGGTGGAAGGAAGGAAAAATAGACCCAAATGAAATAAAACCAGAATCTGGCCTCATTCCAACCAAGTGGGCAGTGGGCCCTGATCTGAGGCCTGCACTGCTGACCTCCCCAGGGCCCAGGTGCAGACAGGATGAGGCAGGGGTCTCCCCACCCCTCCCCCAGTGCTCCAGATGACCTGTAGGATGGAGGCTGCCGGCATGGTGGGCAGAGGAGGGAGATGTATGGGAGGTTGGGGCATAGGCATCCTTTCTGAAGAGAAGATCCAGGTTGTGATGGGAGCGGCAGAGGTTAGGGACGTGATTGCAGGCGGGGGGCTCCTGAGACTCTGAGGTGCTTCCAGAACAGGTTGCTCGTGACCTGCGGCTTCTTCCAACCTCAGCTGCAGTGTACCTGCTCAGAGAGGGGGCCTTGGCCAGGCCATAATAAACAAGTCTCCAAGCCTCTCACTTTGTGATCATACTTGGGAGTGCCTCCAGCCTGCTGTCCTGGTCCACCGGAGGCCCATTCTTGACTCAGTACCGTACCAGGGACTGCGGGAGGCAGGCGAGGAAGCTGGCCCGGTGGCAAGTGGGTTAGCCAGGGCTGCAGTGGGTCCCCCCAGGCAGAGGGGCACTCAGCTTTAGCTGAAGCCTGATTTTGCCCAAGGCTAACTTGAGGCTGGAGGTGGTAAGAACCCCGCCAAGGCAGGGCTGACTTCCTTTCAAAGGGGACCTGACCCATCTTCGGGTATCTGGAAAGGGCAGGCCCAAACCTGGCAGATGCAAGTCAGGGACAGGAAGTCAGGCCCCAGGAAGGCCCCTGCAGCTGACCCGGAGGGCGTGGAGCAGCTGCAGGCACAGCACTGGCCTTTCTTGGGACAGCTGCCTGGCAGAGGGCCAACGCAGCAGAGATGCAGCGGGCAGGCCGGAGGAAGCCGGCATAACTTACATCATAAAACTGCAGTCCCCTCCCTACCTGCCCAGCTGCCCAGATCTTGCTCACTCCCTCTGGGGCACAGCACCCACAAAGGCAAAGGTTCCGGTCTCTCTACGGCACCCTCAGCTCCGAGATGCCTCCATACAAGGGGCTACGTGACAGGCCGGAAAAGCTCAGTGACCAGCAGTAACAACGCAGGAGGGTCTCATCGTACACTCCTACCTGAATTTACGGTCACGGAAGGAGGGGGGGGGCTGCAGACACGTCCCAGGCCTGCAGCTTCCTCGGCAAAGGTCAATCTTTCCCCTGGGCTCAAGGAGGACCCTACGCGGGGTCGGAGTACTCTCCTTCTCAGACCCCGGGCAGGCACGGCGGGCCATCCCCCTGTGAACTACCTGCACCCGGTCTCTCTGACCCCAGGGGTCTCCCCGCTTTGTCTTCCCCCGCCCCCCAACCGACCCCCTCGTTCTCTGACACTAAACGCACGAAAAGAACTACACAACTGCCATGCTTTGGAGCGTTTCTCAACCCTTTGAGGTTCAGTCCTCGGTGTGGCTCAAATAAACCGGGGGAGATGTTCTCCAGGCGTGGGTTTCCATGGACGCGACACGGCGCCGGGCAGAGAGGGTGCTCCGCGCGGGGTAAAGGGAGGAACGAAAGCTCGGCCCTACCTGACTCCCTCCGACAAAGGTGCTCTGCTCTCAAGTTCTTTCTGACCTTGAAAACCCCTCTCGGGGGAGTCGGGGAGGCCTGAGGGTCCGCCCGCGCCGGTCGCGCTCAGGGACCCGCGACCGAGCAGAGGCGAGTCTCGGCCCAGCCTCCGCCCAGCTTCCGCGCACGCGCCCGGGGCGCGTCGCCTCTCTGTGACGTCACGCCCCGCGAGCTACCCGCGGGCGCCGCCATGTTACGTTACGGCGGCCGGCGTGGCCACGAAGCACTCGCCGAGGCCCCGCCCCGCCGGCACGTCACCGCAGACGGCCGGGCGGGCGCCGCCATGTTGGAGGTCCTCGCCTCGGGCGCGCAGGTGTCTTCATAAGATGCCGGCGCGGCGGCGGCGCCCGGCTTTTTCCCCCCCAAGATGGCGTCCATGCGGGAGAGCGACACGGGCCTGTGGCTGCATAACAAGCTGGGGGCCACGGACGAGCTGTGGGCGCCGCCCAGCATCGCATCCCTGCTCACGGCCGCGGTCATCGACAATATCCGCCTCTGCTTCCACGGCCTCTCGTCGGCCGTGAAGCTCAAGCTGCTGCTCGGGACGCTGCACCTCCCGCGCCGCACGGTGGACGAGGTGAGGCGGGCGGCGCGCGCGGCGGCCTCCGGGGCCGAGGCCCGGCCCGCCCGGCGCAGCTCGCCGCCCGCCCCCGGCCCCGTCCGCGGCGGGGCAGGCGGAGCCCGGCGGCCGGGGCGCGGGGCGGCGAGTGGACGCGGGCACCTGTTCGCGGGGGGAGGCGGAGGCCCGCGCCCGGACCCGGAGTGGGGGGCTGGGCGGGCCGCGGGCGCCCCGGGCTCCCGGGAACTCGCCGGCGGCTGCGCCCCACGAAACGGCCGCGAGCCCAGGGCTCCGCTCGCCCGGGCTTCTGCGTCGCCCGGGCGCGGGTGTGAGCCCGCCACGGCCGTTACCGCGTTCGTGCCAAGTGAGCGCGCCCGCGCGTCGAGGGAGCGGGCGCCGCGGCTGCGCGGTCGTCGTCCACCGGCGCTCCGCGGCCTCCCCGCCGCCCCCCCTCGCGCCCCGCTTTCAAATCTCAGCCGCGACGCGTGCGCCCCGCGGCCGCACGGCGGGTCCCTGCGGCGTCGGAGCGTGTGCGTCGCGCGCGTGCGTGGCTCTGCCCGCCCCGGCGGGCTCCTGCCGCCCCCCCCCCCCAGCGCGCACCCTGGCGGGACAGCGGGCGCCCCGAGCGCGCGGCTCCGGCTGCAGCGCGGGCGGCGGGCGGCTGTGCGCTGGCGACCGGCCGTCCGCAGGGGCGGGGCTGCGGCGCTGGCCTCCTGCCGGGTCCCCACGACGCTCAGGCGGCTGGGCGCCGGCTTCGCTTCCCGCAGTACCTGCATCTACCTGCATCGCGGGTTTGGTTTGGGTTTTGGGTTTTGTATTGAGGCGCCGTCGCCATCAGAATGCATTGCATCAGCGTCAGGCGTGCAGCCTAATGACTTGATACCGGCCTGTGCTTCCGAATGATCACCACAGGCCTGCTCTCCATCCGTCACCCCACATACAGAATTCTTTCTTTCCTTGAATCCTCACCCGAGGACGTGTCTTTCAAATGTTATTTTCTTGAGTGACTTGAGAGAGAGGAAGGGAGAGGGGGAGAGAGGTAGAAACATGGATGAGAGAGAACATGGACTGGCCGCCTCCTGCACGCCCCCCACGGAGGATGGGGCCCACAACCTGGGCATGTGCCCTGACCGGACAGAACCGAGACCTCTTGGCGCAAGGGTCTAGCTCAACCACTGAGCCACACCGATGAGGATATGTTTTCCACTGATGAGAGAGAAACATGAAAGGCTGACCCCTGGCGCACCGCCACCGGGATGGACCCTGCCCCGCGGGACTGTGTCGGTCAGACCAGCACCGAACCCGAGACCCTCTGTGCGCAGGAGAAGGCTCTGACCGCTGAGCCGCCTGCCACGGCCCAGTTTTTCTTCTGATGGGAAGTTGGAAGACTCACGCCCTTGGGAGCTTGCAGATGTGCAGCAGTGTTAGGTAGTCACCGTGCTGTGGCTCTGCCCCTGCTGTCCGAGCATCTTTTCTGTGTTTATTCAGTGTTTGATTTTCTCTGGGGTGAATTGTCTGTTCAGATCTTTTGTTTCTGATTTTTCCCCCCATTGCTTCGTAGGAATCTTTTACAATAAAGGTTGGGTAGTAGCCCTTTTCCAGTTGTGTGTGTTACAGATCTCTCCCGGTGTGGCCTGACGTATCGTATCTCAGTGGTGACTCGGTGAGTGTGCCTGTCTTCCCCCCAGGCCGGGACCCACACAGCACTCCTGCTGTCTGTCAGAGCTGCAGCTTGCCTCTCACCTTTGCGTCCACCTGGAAGTAGTGATTGTGTGACTTGCGGGTCTGATTATTACTTCCCATGTGGATGTTGGATCGACCGTTTATTGAAACAACTGCCTTTCACTGTTTGAAGAAGGACCCATTGCCCTTGCCCCATGTGGCTCAGTTGGTTGGAAAATGTCATGTACACCAAAGGTGGCAGGTTTGATTCCTGGTCGGGGCACATGCCCGGTTTCAGGTTTGATCTCCTGTTGGGGTACATGTGGGAGGCAACCAATCCATGTTTCTCTTTCTACTCCCACCTTCCCTCCCTCTCTCTAAGAAAAATATTTTTTTAATAAGGACTCATTGGTCTGGCCGGTGTGGCTCAGGGGTTGAGCGTCGACCCTGCATCAAGAGGTCGCCGGTTCAATTCCCCATCGGGACAGATGCCCAGGTTGTGGGCCTGATCCCCAGTGGGAGGCATGCAGGAGGCAGCCAGTTGATGTTCTCTCTCATCCATGTTTCTATCTCTTTCTCTCCCTTCCTCTCTCTCTCAAATCAATAAGGGGGAAAAAATTTTTTTTTAAAAAAAGGACCCATTGATCTGCTTTACTTGTTCCTGTAGGCTGTTTATGTATTATTGCTTTCAGAGCCCACCAGGTCACACCTTATACCCCAGTCTCCAGCTGACAGCAGACCCTCCCACTTCATTCCCCCCGAGGCTGTTCCTGGCCCTTTGCGTTTCCAAGTGTCTGTTGTCTTCACTTCTCGGGTTACCGTGCACCCACATACAGCTGTTTGGGATTTTCACTAAGACTGATTTGAATGTGCAGTTCATTCTGTGGTTAAAGCATCACAGTAATGAGTCTTACAAACTGAATATAGGCACTTCTCTGTCTCGCTCTTTGACACTTGATGTGAAGCTGTGATTCTCCATAGAGGCCTTCTATCTCCTGTTAGATTCATTTCTAGATATTTCCTATTTTCTTATGCTGCTATGAACATGTTGAAATTTTATTTTCTTTTTCGATGAGTTTGTGAATAGCGTCTGTCTCAATAATTGCAATAATTTTCCTGTAGAATCTTTGTTTTTCTGTGTACTTCCTATTATTGTTTCTCTTTCCAATTACCTTTTACTTCTTTTTCTTGCCTCACCGTAGTTACCAGGACTCTCCAGTATATTACCTTGTTTCTGATCACACCGGGAAAATGTGCAATGTTTTACCAACATGTATTATGTTTCCTGTTATTTTTTTGTAGATATCTTTTATCTGGTTATTAAAATTATCTTCTATTCCCAGATTTTTTAAAAGTTATTTTAATCTCAATGAGTTTTGTTTTTGTTTTTGTTTTTAAATCCTCACCCAAGCCCGGCTGGTGTGGCTCAGTGGTTGAGCATCAACCCTGCACCAAGAGGTTGCTGGTTCGATTCCCAATCAGGGCACATGCCCAGGTTGTGGGCCAAATCCCCAATGGGTCAATGCAGGAGGCAGCCAATCAATGTTCTGTCTCGTTGATGTTTCTATCTCTCTCTCCCTGCCTCACACTCTATCTGAAGGTAAATGGAAAAATAAAATCAATAAAGAAAAAAAAATCTTCACCTGAGGATATTTTTCCATTTATCTTCAGGTAGAGTATGGGGCGGGACGGACATCGATGTGAGAGAGAGACATCAATTGGTTGCTTTCCGTACAACCTTACCCGGGCCGGGGACCAAACCGCAACTGAGGTACGTGTCCTTGACTGGACTTGAACCCGCGAGTCTTTGGTCCATGGACTGTAACTGCTGAGCCTAACCAGCCAGAGTAATCACGAATGAGTTTTAACAGCTCTGTTGAGTGTAATTCACATACCATACAATTCACGCATTTAATATGTACAATTGAATTGGTTCTTAGTATATCATCCTAGTCAATTTTAGAACATTTTCATTAACCTCAAAGTAAACCCAGGTTTCCTCCCACAACTCCCAGCCCTAGGCCATCACTGATCTACTCTCTGTGCCTATGGATTTTCCTTTTGGGACATTTCATACAAATGGAATTAATAATACGTGGTCTTTGGTGACTGGCTTCTTTAACTTAGCATAATCTTTTCCGCCGAGCCAAACTGGCCAGGGCTCTTAGCATAATCTTTCCAAGGTTTATTCATGTGGATCAGTACTTAATCTGTTTCTCATGACTGAACACCTCCCTACATTGATCAGCTGCTCGGTCCATCAGCTGCTCCTCGGCGGGTGCACATTTGGGTCGCTCTCACTCTGTCTGTTAGGAGCGATGCTGCTGAGAACTTTTAGGACAAGTGTGTGGGCATATGTTTCTGTGTGGACATGATGTTTTCCATCCTCGGGTACATATCTAGGGAAGGAACTGTTTGGGTCGAAGGGTAACTGTTGGCACCTGTCAGGAGAGTGGGGCCAAGAGGAGCAGGGCAGACACGTGCTGATGCTTTGGCAGAGCAGACTGCTGGCCACAAGGACCCCTGGGAGCCGGGCTCTGGGTGGGCAGAGCAGCACTGAGGGGAGACCTCAGCTCCTGGGCACAGGGACACAGGTGCGGCCTCATGTCACCCTGGTCCTCTGGCGTGCTGGCCGCCTCCAGGGTCTCTTTCTTTTCTTTTTTTTTTTTTTTTATCCTCACCCTAGGATATTTTTCCATTTTTTGTACAGATAGAGTGGGAGGGAGAGAGAGGAAGAGAGAGAGAGAGAAACATCGATGTGAAGGGACACATCGAGTGGCTGCCACCCGCACGACCAACCAGGGCTGGGGACAAACTGCAACCGAAGTACATGCCCTTAGCGGGAACCGAACCTGGGTCTCTCCGGACCGCAGGCCGACGGTCTAACTGCTGAGCCAAACTGGCCAGGGCCAGGGTCTCTTTCTTGTGCTGTCCAGAGGGAAGAGCATGAGCCCAGCACCAGGCCATGGATGTGCAGGGCCTGGCCCAGTTCCTGAGGTCTGCAGGAGGCTCCTGCTATCTTGGGTGCCTTCTGTCCTGAGTCCCAGTGCGTGTCACCTCCAGCCCCCACAGTAACCCTCTGGTCCATGGAGAGGCCTCAGCAAATGCAGGGCCTGTGGGACGAGAGCTCCTCACACCTTCCCTGCCCCCTCAGGCATGCGTCCCTTCCCACAGCCTTGGTGGTCAGGACCCCGCCGGCCTCCTTGCTTCCTCTGCCCTCACTCCCCGGGCTCGCTCCGCACCCCAAGGTGCCTCGTCAGCAGGCTCCCTGACCAGGTTGGGGCGCAGTCCTCAGCAGCACACGCTCAAGGCGGGGGTGTGTGTGTCAGGTGTGCCTGACGGCGGGCACGCCTGCTGCGGACGGTGCTGGAGGAGATGGCCTGCTGCTCTGGGGAGGCCTGGGGAGGTGGCCCAGCAGGAGGGCAGGCCGAGGCCAGGGCGGGCACTAGGTCTGAGTGGGCACTGCAGCCTGGCGGAGGTTGCGGGAGTCCAAGGAGGCAAGATGGCCCTAAGCTGGGGACACAGAGGAAGGGGCTCATAGGTTCCTGTGAGGGTGGGGCCTAGCATGGGCAGTGGCTGGAGAGGTTGGACACTGCCTTGTGACGGACACACACACACCCCACTCCCCACCCCACCCCCCACCCCCCAAGCTACTGCGGGGTTTGAAAGGGGCTCCTTTGTGTCTAGAAACAAGGGTGCTGGCCACACCCTCCAACTCTGTCCCTGTGCTCGCTGCTCGGAGTGGGGGCACAGGTTCCTGGGGGGCAGGGCGGGTCCGCTCAGGACGCCCCTCCTTCCTCGCAGATGAAAGGCGCCTTGACGGAGATCATCCAGCTGGCCGCCCTGGACTCGGACCCCTGGGTGCTCATGGTGGCTGACATCCTGAAGTCCTTCCCAGACACCGGTTCACTGAACCTCGATCTTGAGGAGCAGAACCCCAACGTGCAAGACATTTTAGGAGAACTTCGAGAAAAGGGTATGCGTGTGTGTTTGGCTCTGCTGGGAGGAGGGGAACAGGCTGCTGGAGAGGAGAACCTCCTCTGGGCGCTCCGCGTGCGCCGTGTCTCCCACAGCGTGCTGTGCACACAACACACCCGCCTCCCTGCTGTCCCGCCTCCTGCCCTCGGCCTCTCCCGCTCAGCCGTGCAGGCACGGGCTCCGCCTGTTCGGGCGTATCACCAGAGTCTAGAACCCTCCTGGCACAGACAGACAGACGGTCAGCAGTGTGTGAAAGATAGCAGCAGTTCAGGTCAGAACGTGAACCGAAACTGTTCAGAAAATATCACAAATGTCTGAAAGGACATGAAGGTGAGGAGCTCGGTCCTCCTCAAACTCCTGGCTTAGTTTGGAGAATTGGAACTGGCAGCCCCTGGAGATGGAAGCTGTCCCTGTGCACCTGCTGGACCAAGGGGGCTTCCGACCCTGTGCACTGCCTTCGGGTGGAAGGCAGGCCTCGGACGCAGGAAGCAGGCTGCTCGCTGCTCCAAGGCCAGGGGAGGCCTCGGTGGCCCTGAGGCTGCGGTGGCATAGTGGGGACACCGGAGTCAGTCTGCTGGGCGCTTGCTCCGCCACCGTGAATAGGAAGCTGCAGTTTGGGTCTTCCCTGTTAGCGGTGTAAGGGACACGCACCTAACCTTGTGCTTGCTGGTTCTTGAACGGACAGCGACCGAGTGCGAGGCGTCCGCCATGCTGCCGCTGGAGTGCCGGTACTTGAATAAAAGCGCCCTGACGACCCTCGCGGGTCCCCTCACCCCTCCCGTGAAACACTTCCAGCTGAAGAGGAAGCCAAAGAGCGCCACGCTGAGGGCCGAGCTGCTGCAGAAATGTGAGTGCAGGGCTCCGTCTGTCTGTCTATTCTTGGGTCCCTTGGGGTGTCCTGCTCAGAACGGTCTTTTCAGGACACAGAGTCCTGTGCAAAGCTTTTGGCCTTTGCAGAAATTTTATTGCTATGCTGAACTGTGTTCTAAAAATCTTTTAGAAACTGTAGAATGTTTAGGTTAAAGTGTCTGTAATCTTGGCTACAAAAATGAAATCTGCACCAGCTGCCATGTGGTGATGAGACAGGTGGCCTCACCACGGTGGTCCTGTCCTGTCAAGACTCGAGCCACAGATGATCTGCTTGGCTGTGGGGTGTTTGGGCGTATGCGCAGCGTCTTCCGGGGTGCCGGCTTGCGGAGCGTGTGGGCGCCTGCCGGGAAAGCGGAACCAGCTCCTTCAACAGGAGCAAGCACGGGTTTCAGCAGGCTCTTATTTCGAAGGGTCATGGAATTGGCATTAGTAACACACACAGGTGCCATTGTGACCCTTGTCTCAGAATGGACAGCATCCTGGGGCCAGTGCCGTTCTGGCTTCACGGCGCTAGCGGGACACAACCCAGGCCCAGGCCCCTCTGGACGCTGGGCACAGGACTGTGCCTTCCCTGAGCCATGTCAGCAAATCTGTCGCCTCCTTCCTTGTACTTTTGCAGGTGGGGGGATGCCAGCCTATGCCTGCTGACCACCCATGGTGAGGGTGCTCCACCAGGGCTGCCCACGAGGCCTGCAGCCCATGGGACCACGCAGGTTGTGGGGACACGGAGAGCCCCTTGGGCCCTGTCGTGCAGCTCTGCCACCTGCCCGTCCTGGCGGGCAGCCGCACGGCTCTGCGGTCGTGCAGGCCCCGCGAGCCGGCGGCACTGGCTTAGAGGAGCAGGCTCGGGTCTGGAGGACTTGCCACTCACATGCGCTCCTGCAGCAGGTGGACGCACAGTTCACGTGCAGCAGGAGGAGGGCTGATACGTACCTTCTCCTTGCAGCCACCGAGACGGCCCAGCAGCTGAAGAGGAGCGCAGGGGTGCCCTTCCACGCCAAGGGCCGGGGGCTGCTCCGCAAGATGGACACCACAAGTAAGCCGCGCCCCTCGCCACAGTGGCCCATTGCCTTCGGTTCAGGCCTGAGACCCCGTGCACAGAGCCACAGGCTCCTCGCCCAGTGCCGCCTGTCACTCATCAGACAGCAGGGTTCGGCCTAGGAGAGGGTTTTCCTCGTTGGCAGAGTGATTTAGATGGTGGTGGTCAGGCCAGACAGCAGCCCACGGGCCCGCGGGGCTGTGGTGAGGGCGTGGGAAGTGAGGACGGAGCCCAGGGCTCGGCCAGGGGGTTCGTCACTTCCAGGAAGACCTGGGAGGACGGGCGCGATGGGCCTGCGAGCTTTGGGAAGGCCAGGCTTCAAGGGAAAGGCTGCTTCTGCGCGCTCAGTGGGAGCAGTTCCTCCCTGAGCTTCCAAACTAGGGGGCGTGGGGGTGCCGAGAGCCAACCGCCCTCCTCGTGCTCCCAGCCGCCCCTCCAAGGGTGAGAACAGAGCCCCACACGCACGACCAAAGCAGGACAGATAGGATGAGAAAATGGGGCACCGGGAGGCACAGAGGGCCCTTCTCCTGAGTCTCGTGTCCCTGGGCCCCCGCCCACCCACACTGCTTGCTGCCCAGGACCCAGCAGACAGCCGGCAGGTGAGGTGACATTGGAGCCAGGGAGGCCTTAAGAGGTACTCTGCCGGCACCCCACCTGGCTCGCTTGCCATTGGCCCTGCAGCCCCGAGTTGGGACCTGGCATCTGGGTGTCAAGCTGACTTGTCGCCGTGTCCTCGGCCCCCACCCTTGGCAGGCTGTTAGCTGACGGTCCGTGAAGCACAGAGAGCTGACGTGACCCTGGCCTCTGAGGCACCCGGGGCAGGAGCAGCAGCAGGTCCGTCCTTGGCCCTGCGTCCCAGCAGTGCCCTGGTCCTACTGGCCGTGCTGAGAGGTCTGCGTGTGCGTGGGCCTGGGCCATTACTCCAGAGCTGAGTGTGTGCCCATGTCCACGTGCCCAGCACAGGCTGTCCTGGCAGCGGGAACAGGGCAGCACTGCCTGGGGATGGGACCAGGCCCTGTTCAGAAGGAACTGTCCCTGGTGTGTCCAGTAGCTCCCATGCGACAGACGCAGCCAGGATGGGGGAAAGGGCATCGAGCCTATGACAGGTGTGCTCGGAGCACCAGGAAGTGCAGGGAAGGCGCGAGCTGGGAGCACCGTCTGCAGGGAGAGGTGGTGCGCCAGGGTGGGGCCTGCAGACGGGGCACTTCATTCCCATCTTTGTTTTTGGCAGAAATGTCGTAGGTTGGCAATGATGTTGTTGCCAAGGCTTTGCTCTTCTGGGCCGACCCAGTGCCTAGTGTCCACCGGGAGGGGCAGGCCCTGGCCCTAAGGAGGGGTCGCAGGTGACCTGGGGGTGGCACCTGCACCCACACTCAGATGCACCGCGTCCTCGGGGTCAGGCTTGTGCCTGCTCAGCGCTCAGAGGCTCGCAGGGGCGTCGCGGGCCAGCCGGGCGGCCAGCGCCTTCCTCTGGAGCACGCTGCAGAGCGGCCTCTGCTCCTGGTAGAGAAGCAGAGCGCACAAGTCGCGGGAGACTGGCCACCTCCTCGGCCGTAGCCGCTGGCCCACTGACGCCCCTCGCTCTACACAGCTCCCCTCAAAGGCATCCCGAAGCAGGCGCCCTTCCGGAGCCCCACCACCCCCAGCGTCTTCAGCCCTGCTGGGAACCGGACCCCCATCCCGCCTTCAAGGACGCCTCTGCGGAAGGAGAGAGGAGTGAAGGTGGGCACACCCCTCTGCCTGGCCCCGCAAGGCTGGCCTCGTGCTCCTCGCCCTGTGGCTAAGGGTGGGCTTGTGTCTGTCTTGGCAGCTGCTCGACATTTCTGAGCTGGATACGGTTGGCGCTGGCCGGGAGGCCAAGAGAAGAAGGAAGACAGTGGGTGCGTAGCCAGGGCCCCCGTCGGTCTGCGGAGGGGGTGGCTGCAGTCCGGCTGGGGCTGCCAGGGCTTGTGCCAAGTGCTGCTGAGCCCCAGGGCGGGCGGAGGCCGCCCCCTCCCTCCTGCGAGGCTGTCCTCACGGGCAGGGGTGGCTGCCTTTTCTGAGGGCGCATTTTCTTCTCTGCCCGAGACGTGTCTGAGGGGCAGGTTGGGCAGAATTTCAGGGCTGGCTTGCTGGGCCTGCCTGCGGGCACTGACGAGGGCTCTGCCCGCAGACACGGAAGTGGTGGAGAAGCCGGCCCGGGAGGAGACCGTTGTGGAGAACACCACCCCCGACTACGCGGCAGGCCTGGTGTCCACACAGGTAGGCTCTGCCTCTGCAGCGCCTCCGCGGCCAGTGTGCTCCCTCTCAGCCCCAGTCTCAGCCCCTGGAGCGGCGGATCTCAGCCTGTGGGCTGCGACCCCTTTGGGGGTCAAACGACCCTTTCACAAGAGTTGCCTAAGACCATCGGAAAACACAAATTTCCGATGGTGTGGGACCGAGACAGGGCTCCTCCGTCTCCAGGTGGGTCTGCCACACAGATACGCCCAAAGACAACATGAGGAATGTGTTACAGGGTCGAGGCTTTAGGAGGGTGAGAACCACTGCCCTGGAGTGTGTTGTCGGAGAATATGTGTGTGTATGTACATATGTGTGTACCGACGTGGGCGGGGTGTGTGCACGTATGTATGTATGTATGCAGACACGTCTATGAGAGGCAGCACTGGCTGGAGGCCTCGATGTGGGCACGCCACACCCTTGTCCCTGTCCTGAGGGGGGGAGGGAGGCGAGCACTGGCAGGCTGAGGTCACCAGACTGGACGCCTGGACGGTTCGCGTCGCGGCTCCCAAAGTCCCTCCTGCACAGGCTTCGAGCAGTGAGGCCCGGCCCTCACCCGGTCACTCTGGGGGATGGGCGGCTCCCTCCTGGCTGGCACTGGTCACTCTGGGTGACGGGCGCTCTCCCGTCGCATTGCTGAGCTTTCTCACCTTCTCGGAGGCGCGTGCCCCGACCCTCCCCCTACCAAGAAAACACTGAACTTCTCCAAAGATGGCTGGTTGGGAGGCTCCCTGACCAACAGGAGCAGCCCAGCCCTCTCCTCTGCGCGGGCAACTCTAGGGGCAGCCCTTCAGGGGCTTGTGGCCCAGAGGAGCCCCTTCCCCAGCCCTGGGGGAGCAGTGCCCACGTCCTGCCCCAGGGTTGGGGCTCCTGTGGGGCAGAGTCATGTCCAGGGAGCAGTACTGAGACCCAGGCCTCTCCTGGGAGGGACTGTGCACTGTCTTCCAGAAACTTGGGTCTCTGAACAGCGAGCCTGCACTGCCCTCCACGAGTTACCTGCCTGCCACACCCAGCGTGGTCCCGGCCTCCTCCTACATCCCCAGCTCTGAGACCCCACCAGGTGAGCAGGCGCAGGCTGGACCGCACGCGGGTCGGCCGTCCTGGGGCCCCTCACCAGCACCCACCTGGCTGGCAGTTTTCACCTGCTGTGCCCTTCCTGGGGGCAACAGGCAGCAGCACCTCGGGGTCCATGGGTTCCCTTCCAGTCCCAGAACTTCCAAGAGCAGTATTGAAAGGAAAAGTGGGCTGAGTTAGCGGGTTGTGTTCCGAGGTTTTCACTTGGCCACGCTTGGCCCCCGGGAGAGGTGGCCAGAGATGGCCTTGGGGTCTGCCAGCCTCGCTGGGCTCAAGGAGGCTGCTTTCCTGCCTGCTCATCAGTGTCATGGTGGGGACCTTGCCCAGGCCCTGAGCTGACCAGAGCCTGTATGTCATCTGAGAAGGCTCCCTGGGGCTTGTGCCCACCTCCTGCCTGGCGGTACCGCTCATGGCTCTTGCCCAGCTGTGGGCCAGAAGGCCTCTGAGGGTCTAAGAGCTTGGAGAGCCAAGGTCTCAGGGCCAGCCACTGCAAAAGCCAGGCGGTGTGTGGATGTGGCCAAGACACGTCTGCACCGTGGCCTGGGAGTGGGGGCCTGGCACAACTTTGGGGGGGGGGCTGTCCCTTTCTGCTGGCCCCTCAGCCCCACTGTGCTTACAGCCTCGTCTTCCCGGGAAGCCAGCCTGCAGGCCAGCCGGCCACCCGAGGAGCCCAGCACCCCGAGCCCCGCCCTGCCACCGTTCAAGCAGAGGGCGCCCATGTACAACAGCGGCCTGAGCCCAGCCACGCCCACGCCCGCAGCGCCCGCCTCACCCCTGACGCCCACCACACCCCCGGCTGTCACACCCGCTACCCAGGCACCTCCAGTGGCCATGGTGGCCCCACAGACCCAGCCACCTGCCCAGCAGCAGCCCAAGAAGAATCTGTCCCTCACGGTAGGTGTGCCCTGGAGGGCTGCAGGCCACAGGTAGGTAGTGTGGCCTCACCCACCCCACCCACGCCTCCAGTGGGGGTTCCGGCAGTGCCTGGCCTGGGCCGCAGGAGGAGGGAAGCAGGAGGCGGGCTGCAGGGCCAGGCACTCACGCCCTCACGCCCTCACCCCCTCACCGCACTCGCAGAGGGAGCAGATGTTCGCCGCGCAGGAAATGTTCAAGACCGCCAACAAAGTGACGCGGCCCGAGAAGGCCCTCATTCTGGGCTTCATGGCTGGCTCCCGAGGTGGGTCCACATGGCCAGCCGGGGGGGGCGGGGCAGGCTCTGCGGCCCGGCGCCCACCCAGCAGCTCTCTGCCCCCCACAGAGAACCCCTGCCCGGAGCAGGGCGCGGTGGTGCAGATCAAGCTCAGCGAGCACACGGAGGACCTGCCCAAGGCCGACGGCCAGGGCAGCACCGCCATGCTGGTGGACACAGTCTTCGAGATGAACTACACCACGGGCCAGTGGACGCGCTTCAAGAAGTACAAGCCCATGGCCAACGTGTCCTAGGGCCGCCCGCCTGCAGATGCGCTTCTCTGGGGTGTTTGGACTTGTTTTTTAAATTTTAATATGGCTTACTTTTTGTGTGATCTAAGACACTTTTTTGGATTCAATATTACATTTTTGAATGTTAAAGTTACAACTTCCTAATCTTAGTGACAGCCCTGCCTGTTAGATTTTCACCTTTTTTTTTCTTAAATTCCACTGACCATGAGGTTGAGAGGACCAAAGGTGGCACCGGGAACAGGGGCAGGCCCCAGGGCCTGTGTCCATGGGAAAACTACCCGAGCCATTCAAGGTTAGCTTCTCTACGGGACGCCCCGGGCTGTGTCGGGCCAGTGTCCTCTCTGTGGTGGGGGCCATCGACGGCTCTTGGGTGAAGGTGGGACGTGTCTGCAGCCCCTCCCCTCCTGACCACATCACCTTTAATGGGGGTTTGGAACCAACTTATTTTTAAAATTAAAAAAAAATTTTTTTTTCCAAAAGCAGAACTACACTTACTGTTTTCGGTATTTGTCACGCTTCCCAAGGCCATGTGAGCTGTTCCCACTAGTCAAAAGCAGAGTGACGGTCTGCGGAGGGGTGGGGGGGCGCCGAGGACCACCCGCTGCCTCGCAAGGAACCTTCGCGTGCAGCCCCACGTGAAATAAGTTTAAGGAGAGCGCCTTTAAAACTTTTTAATACAAAAATACTCATACACAGTTTTCCAAACACGGCTTCCCACTTTAAATGCTATTTCCCCCCAATATCGGCAATTCCCAAATCTACATTTCAGTCTATTACCCTAGAAGTGAACTTCAAGTTTTCAAGTCTATCAGAACTGGTGACAGCCCAGCGTCCTAAAGAAGCCTGACCACGCTGTACAAAGTTCGGACGCCGACAGGCACGCTGAGATTGAGATTTAATTTCTGACGGTACTTCACATCTCAACAGGGCGTGGCGGACACCATCACAACACGGCACTCACTAACGTCCATCTAACACTGCACCCTCGCAGGGTCACGTTTGGCAATGGACAGACAGTCATCTGTGTTAACTTTAAAACAGGCTTCTCTCTAGTTCCTGGAAAGAAGGTAGTTCTGGAAGATGGGCTCTGTACACATTGTGGTTAACGTCAAGATAAATACTTCACTGGCACCAGAGCTCAGACCTGAGTTACGGGACCGGAACGAGGGCGGCTCCTGGGAGGACAGGACCTCACCATGTGCTGCCGGTGCCAGACTGGCCCCCCAGTGGTCACAGGCCGTAACTGCTGAGGTGGGCACGGTCCTGGGCCCTGCAGGTGGTGGGGCGCCCCCCTTCCCAGGTCAGTGCTCACAGGTGTGACCACACTTGTGGGCACAGGTTCCGACGCCAAGGAATCCTGAGGTTTTGGGCAGTTTTTGTTGTTTCTGCTTCACATTAATGACCAGGGGCTGAAGGTAGGGTTCAGAAGGACTAGCCCCCCGTGAACTCCCGCTGAGATGAGCACAGGCCCACCGCCCTGGTGGGAGGGCCCTTCACGCTCGCCACTGCCACAGCCTGGTGGCATTAGACTTGTAAACTGCTTTTCTAGAGATTTTCAAGTTAGTGTTATTCGCTCATCTAAGTTTTTGGGAAGAGGGTAACCACATTGAAATTTTTTCTAGTATTTCCTTCAGGAAGATCATTTAAAATTTTGGAAATATCAAAGTGACTCAAAATTCATAAGACTTTCCTATTGTCAAATACAAAAATAAGCGACTCTGCTCCCCAAAGTGCACTGTAAAACCAATTCTGATGTTCTTACAGGCGCCCCCTGGTGGGCAGGAGGCTGCTCTGGGCCCTGGGTCCAAAAGCAGGGCCACCCCACACAATTGCGACTGCAAAGGACCTCGGCGTTATTGTGCCAGATCTGAAACACGCAGGTCGGCGGTGTCCGGCCTCTCCAGGCCAGTCACTGGCTGGGACACCCAAGTTGAGGGCGTAAGGAGCATAAATCTATACATAGATCCGGTCTTTTCTTAAGATGATTTTAAAGCTCTCAACTGGCAGCTCCACAGTCCCATGTCTCACCAGGCAAGTGCGTCTCCAGGCAGAGCTCGGCCCCTCGTGCAGAAGCGGTGGGAGGTGACAGCTCTGGTCCCTTTCGGTTGTGTGCGTGGATTCCGTCCAGGATCGTGAGAGAAGGGCCACGGGGATGGCCAGTCAGTGAAGCTCCGCCCACCAGCCAGCACTCGGGGCCTGGACCCCACAGGCCCCAGGGAACCTCACCAGGGTCACAGCCTGGCAGCCCCCAGCCCAGCTCGTGCCAGAACCAAGGAGGACTGGACAAGGGCCTGGGGCCAAGGCGGCCCTGCAGTCTGAGAGGAATGACCAGGCGCCCTCAGGAGCGGTTTTCAAGAACAGCTGTGTAAACTCTTCTGCAGAACAGATGTTCTCCCAAAGGCCGAAAAGTGCCTGCTTCAGAGTGTTCCTTCCCTCCCGTCGCACATAGGGACAGGCACATGGGTGCCTGGCGGGACGCTCTCCCTTTCTTAGGGGGATCCGAACTTCCCAGGGTCAAGAGGGGCTCCAGAAAAGAAGAATCACATCTTCCACAGAGAATTTACACTTTCCAGAAGGTTCTCACCCGGGAATCTCCCAGGGACCTTGGCAGGCAGGTGCCCTGGCTGTGCACGTCTGACCAGACCCACCAAGCGAGAGGAACTGGGTGTGACTTCATGGGGCCAGTTCCAGCCTCCGGGTCTCCTCAGGCCCTGGAAAGAACACTTGACGGACAGGCTGCTTCCCAGGTGCGCCGGGTCCAGAGGGACATGGGCAGGGCCCTTCCCCCAGAAAGTCACCACCAAGCAACTGCACAGGCCAAACCCCAAGTTCATGCTTTTGGCTGGGTGGACTCAGGTCGCATCAGTAAATACACGGTCCAGTCGGTGGTAATTGTAAAACAAGTTTAGCAAAAATATATTGAGAATAAAAGCCAGAAACCAGTAATGAAAAAACAAATGAAAAAAAACGTACAAAATCTTTCCCCAAGTGTGGGTAAGAACCTAGTTCGGGCAAGAGACGTCCCAGGTCGCTGCCTGCGGGCCCCCAGGAGGCAGCTGAGGGGGGAGCCTGCACTTCAAGGCCAACGCGGCAGCAGCGCTCAGTTCGAACCTACAGAGTAAAAGCCACTCGGGAAGTCTTAAAACATCACCGTCACCGCTCCTAGGCCAGCTTCTTGTACGACAAACGAGCATTTTGAGGAAAAATTTCACATTAGTACAAAAAAACACAGCTGTTCCGTACAAGCTGAAATAGTGATCAAATTCCTGGTTCCAAGGCCGCCGGGGTCTGCGCGCCACCTGCAGGCGGCTGGTCTGGGTGGGGACGCCGGTCAGCAGGCCAGGACACAGACGAGATCAGACAGTGACCTTTCAGAACTCACTCTACCCTACAAATCTGGGTGAAATAAAACATTTCATATGACAATTAATTTTCAACCATAACTTTAACCTAAAAAAACAGAGAGGGCCCTGGACGTTCTCAGCAGCTCCAGTGCAGCCGTGATGCGGTGGAGCGAGGGTTAGTCCCGGAACGTTCCGAGCCACGCGGCTCAGGCGGTGGTCAGTGCAGGCGCAGCGGGCGCTGCTGGCGGCTCAGTGGTGGGAAGGACCCTTCCCGGGGGCCTGTGCTCGGCGCAGCGGCTCGGCCCCCGGAGACAGGCTGGCCTCTGGGCAGCCCCTGGTCTAGCCAAGCCCCCCATGCTGTTTGCCTTCCGTGACCCTTCGCCAACACCTCCTCCTCCTCCTCTTCCCCTTCGGCTTCGCGGGCTCTGGGCAGGGCTTCTGGGCCTTGGCCCCGGCGGGCTCCGTGCCCCAGTCGTGCTCACAGCAGCAGGGCCGCCCGTCGGGGGCGGAGCGGAAGGCCGCCCCGTCGTGGTGCTCCTTGCAGACCGAGTTGGGGCAGAAGTGGCAGAACGAGGCCGAAGGTTTGCCACACACGTCACAGTGGTGCCAAGGACACACCCACTTGCCTGCAAGAAGACAGTGTGTCACCACAGGAGCGACAAGGACAGGGCACACAACTCCAAACCCGAGGCTGCCCCTCCCACGGCGAGCTCCGGCCCAGAGGGACCCTGCGCCACTGCCCGCTCCGCTCTCCCTGGGCCCTCTGGGGCCCGCCCGTCTCCACCGGGCTGTGGGCACGAGTTCCTTCGGGCCCACGTCAGGCCGGATGGCGTCGCACCCGCTGCAAACTGACAGCTGTCTTCCTCCGCCAAACACGTTTGCGGTTTTCTCTGTTCACAGAGCTTCGCTCTCCTCCTCTGGGTGGGGCTCTCGATCTTCCCTCCAAGGTCCCAGGTCTCTCCCACGACGCTCGCACCCTGCCCTGCTCCCACACCACCCAGGCGGGGGACCCGTCCCCGAGAACCAGCAGGGTGACCGGGGACCCACCGAAGGGCCGCTTGCCCAGGCCCAGGCATGACAGGTGGTAGGCCTTGGCGCAGGACTTGCGGTCGCACAGGACCAGCTGGCCCCCATCGCCACAGCGGAAGCACTCGTCCTCCGACTCCTTCTTCCCTTCGCCCTTGGTTCTGCGCCTCCTGCTCCTCTTCTTGGTCTTCTTGCCTTTCTCCTCTGAAGACAGTGACGTGGAAGTCTAGAAGAGAGAATTGGGCACAATTCTCGGAAGAACAGCAGACGAAGTGGCAACGATGTGGGAATTCAGAAATCTTTGCAGAGGTTCTAGCAGCAAAAAGCAGGAAGATGCATTTGGGGAGCAGGGACGGGCCGTGCCAACAGGACTGCTGGCCACACTCGGCCCGACACCCCTCACTCGAGATGAGAGAGGCGGGGGACACAAGCAGAACAGGCTCAGGCCCGAGGGGCCCAGACCTGCTGATGGGAAAGTGGACTAAGGGCAACGGGCTGCCGCCCGGTGAGGCTCACACCGGAGAGACAGTGAGAGCAGCAGACACTGTGTGACCCCAAGTTCATGTCCTTCCACCTCGGAATGTGGTATCGTGCGGAGAGAGGGTCGCTGGAAATGCAATTAAGTTCGGGTGAGGTCACACTGGAGCAGGTGGCCCCTAGCCACTGACTGGAGTCCTTACAAGCAGAGGAGAGGCCAAGTGACAACACACGCAGGGACTGGAGTGATGTGCCACAGCCCAGGACACCGAGGACAACAGTGACCCCAGGGACTGCAGAGCCCCAGACTGTTTGGGACAGAAGTTCTGCTGTTCAAGCCTCAGATCGGGTGCAGTGCTGCGGGGACGCGGACGGCCAGCCCCACTGCGCTCTGCGGTCCCGGCAGCCAGTCAGCTTGGAGGAAGCCGCTTGCGACAGCAGGGATGTGTCTGGGGAGAGGGCCTTTACCTTGGGTCTGTCCCCGAGGAAGCCGCTGCAGTTGGAGGCTCCGCATCGGCACACGGTCTTCTCGTTGCCCAGACAGTCGAGGTTGTAGTTAAAAGTCAGCTCCGTCCCTGTGACAGCGGACAAGCCACATGGAGACTGCCGTCTCTTCAGTTTGAACAACGCCAGGCCCAGACTCCCACTGCCCCCGAGCCCACGCCGCCGCCCACAGCTGTGTGAGTCGGCCTCAGGAACAGACACTGGACACGGCAGGACTCCCCTCAGCCGCCTCCCCCAGTCATCCTGGCCACGCAGCCGGGACCCGCGCGGAGCTGGGCACCGTACCTGCGGGAATGTCGCACACCGCGAACAGCCCCACACGAGTGTCGCCGTTCACCGTCCACTTGAGGGTCTCACAGTTGGGCTGACAGCTGTGGTTCATGAACCTGGAGTAGTTGCCTTTGGGGCCGGCGTCGATTATGCGGTCCTGCGGAGCACAGCTCAGGTTGTAAGTCGCGGGGACAGGCGGTCGGCCCCCAGCCACGTCCTCCTCAAGGGGGTTTCACCCTCACGAGATTCACTGGACAACAGGTGTCGTGCTGGAACCGTGGTATCCCATGTCCACTCAGACAGGACACCCCCAATCCAGTCCCGTTTCTGTTGCTCACGGAGGGTGGGTCAGGACCACACGGACAGGACCGAGCCCCGGGGAGCCCGGGGAGGAGCCGACCGTCCCCAACACCAGCCACCAGATGACAGACAAGGGAGCCAGATACTGAAGATCAACAGCAACAGCACCCAAAACTCAGAGAGAAGGTGACCGACCCAATTGTGACACGGGCACAGGACGTCCACACAGCTCAGAGCCGGAGGGGCGCCCATGTGCCCTGCCAGCTGAGCCGCCGAACACTGGAGTCTGACTTCACAGTGTGACAGTGGGGTGCTGAGGCCGGAGCCTGGCAGGAACAGTGCTGAGACCAGCTGGGGGCAGCCCACAACGCAGGGGCCCTGGGCACTGAAGCCTGCGGTCACTGCGGCAAAACCCAGAAGTGACGCAACTCCCAGCCGCAGGGAAGGGCGGCAGACGCCTTCAACACCCACACCGCAGTCCGTGTCCAGGCTGCCTGGCGCGGGAGCCCCCCCTTGCCGGGAGTGCCAGGCAGCCAGTACCGAAAACAAGGCCACATCAAGCATCAGTCAGCAGCGAGCAAGACGCTGTCTGCCGGGGACGCGCAGACGCGGAAGTCCGCGCCCCGAGAGCACTGAGCCAAGGCAGTGCCGGCCGCCGGCCGCGTCACCGGCCTCAGACTCTGCTGCTGCTTCTCCCCTGGGTGTGGGGACAGTCCCTGACCCGGCGCAGCCATGGCCCGGCCCGGGGGAGAGCAGTCCGAGCTGGCTCCACGTCAGGGCGGCGAGGCTGCAGACAGCTAGGTGTGGCTGGCGCCGGCCCCAGCTCTTGAGACGCCCGGAGGAGATGCGCCCACATCTGCAGGCAGCACCGGGCAGCGTCGCCCTGGCCCAGGCCACCGCCACCAGCGGGCCCTCCAGCCAGGCTGGCCCACCCTGCCGCCGCTCCCCTTCCTGCTGGTCTCCAGGTGCCCCGTGTTGTGTGTCAGGAGCCTTCTCGCCGCATGTCAGCTTCCCAGTGCTCAGAACTGCCCCCCGTCTAATGCAGCCATCGTACCGACCATCTTACCGACCATCTTACCGACCATCTTACCGACCATCTTACCGACCATCTTACCAACTATCTTACCAACTATCTTACCAACCCGGGCTTCGCGCCAGGTTTTCCTACATTGTAACCTGCCGCCTGCTCTTCCCAGCCCCTCCATCTGGGTCCCGGCAGACCCGGCACCTGGCCCCCCTGCGCTGTGCAGGGCTCGGGCCAGTGTCCCGGGGGCCCCTTCACTGCCACAGACAGCGCCGCCCGGTCCTGCTGACTGACGTTCTCGGTGGACTTGGAACTGCCCGGAGGTTCCTGATACATTGTTACTGTTGTAACTGAAATTACAATGACCTTGGGTTTCGGAAGGTTCCTTCCTTGCCTTCGGCTGTTTCCAGCCTGGGTCTCCTCAGGGCTCAGCGCTCACCCCAACAGAGCAGCTGCCTGGCCCCCTCACCCGCCGGGGCTCCTCCCCACACTGCAGCCGGGGGCCTGGTCTGCACCACTGGGCCTGCTGTCGTTTCTGTGACCTCTAAATCCCCTTTCCGGCTTTAACCACCTCCAACCCACTCCCTCAACATTTCCTTCCAGACTTGGTCTTATGTCTCAGGTTCCCACTGAAACCTAAACCGTCTCCTCAAAGGGTCTGCGCACGGAGATCCCGTTCTCTCGTGCTTTGTAAACACTCAGGGGGGCCTTGCTGTGTTTTGTTTTCATAAGAAACCCCTGGGGAGTGAGCTGCTGTCTGCGTCCCCTGCCACGGCCCCACCCTGCTTCCGCCGGCGCCCTGGGTGCACTGTCCCTCGGGGCCGCCTGTGTGCTCAGCGGGCAGGGCAGTGCTTCCTCGCACACGAGCACTTTGACTCCACACGCTGGCGAGACGTGGCCAGACCCAGGCCCAGGCCCAGGCTTTCGACTTCTAGTAACACAGCCCCCACCGTCCCCAAGGCAAAAGGAAAAGGAGTCACCCTGGAAGGGCCGTGACCGCACCCCAGAGACACCTCTCTCCACCCGCACCTGTAAGCAGATGGTCTCACCCACCCTTCTTCCGAGAAGGCTGACCCCACCAGCTGACCTCCCTCCAAACTCTTTACTGATCTGGCTCAGACACGCAACGCCCACGGGAAGGCCTCTCCTGCAGCCTGTCCCTTCTGTCTTCTCCCTGACGTGTCCCTCAGACGCCAGTGGGCACATGGTGCCCCAGTCGGCTGCGGCCCTCAGGAGCTGCCCGAGGACCCTGCAGCAGCGCCCGGCAGCGAGCCCGTTACCTTGTCTATGGTGAGCATGTAGAAGTGCGTGATGTCATTCTCCTGCGCGTGCTTGATCCTGGCCATGCACTCCTCCTCGTCGATCAGCTCGCCCACGTACTCGTTCACGAACTCCCCCTGGGGCCAGACGCAGGTCAGCGCGGTCGCCCCGCCCCACCCCGCCCCTCCCCCACCCCTCGCTGGTCCACACGCCTGCCCTTCCAGCCGAGGGCGTGTGGCCATGTCGGCCCTCTCGCTCCATGCCGGCAAGGCTCCTCGGAAGGGGACTCAGCTCTACCGTGACAGGTAACTCTCAGCTACCGTCCCACACTGCCCAACTGCGACAACTCAAAACCACGCTTTCACCACACGCTCCACGCCGGGGGGGCTGACCTTACGGATGTCCCTCTTGGCCACCAGGCCCCAGCCCTTGCCGTCCGTCCTGATGACCTGGGTCTCCGGGTACTGGCGCTTGCTGAAGCGCTGGTTCTGGCAGGCGGCGCCAGCCGGGCACACCTGCGGGTGGCACTCGAACATGAGCATGCGGTTGAGGCACTCCGAGTCGGAGCCGCACGGGCTCTCGTCCGTGGGCCTGCAGTTGCACTTGGGGACCTCGGAGATGTCGGCCGTGTGGATCTGCACCTTCCCGTGCGGCTTGTTCACCTGCGGGGCGGGCGCTGCCTCAGCCACAGGGGCGCTTCAGCACCCTGCACCCCTGCCCCGCCCCCCCAACAGCCTCCAGGGCCTGACACTGGTCGGAGCGGCCTCGCCCGCGCAGGCAGAGAGGGGGAGCAGAGGTGGCGGCATGCAGCCCGGCCCCCAGTCCGAGACCTGTCACAGTGTTTGTCCCTTGTCTGCTGTTCAGCTAACGGGAGACACACTGCCCGGGACCAGGCAGAGCCTGGCAGTCACCCAACAAGCCTGGAGTCCTCATCGCCCCACCTGTCGGAACCTCCATACTGAGCACCCACAGGTGCCCACCGGGGGAGGGGACACAGGGCAGCCTCCATACTCGTGACTTCAGTTTACTCTAGTCATTAGAATCTAATGAGACAGGGGCAGCCAATGACAAAGCAGCAGAGAGAATGGGACGAGCCAGAAGTGGACAGAATCCGGGCTCCACACTTCAGAACTGCCTGGAAACATGCCCGAGGAGTCCAAGCTCAGGCTCTCCAAGCCAGCGATTGTTCCTGGGAACTTGGCCCAGTAAGACTCAACACGGAGAGCACCTGCCTTTACACAAGCCGCTGCCTGCAGCCCAGACTCGGGAGCGAGATGGGCCCTTGACCCGCCGGCCCGGGCAACACGGCTCCAGGTGCTCGAGTCTCGGAGCCCGGCTGTGGGAAGTGCTGCTGGGCCCCCGGGTCCCTGGTGGATGCAGGGCCGTGTTCAGAAGCTCCTGTCCTTCCTGACTCGCCGCACCCTCTGAGGTGGGCACATCAGTGAGTCTCAGGGCTCCGGCCAGGCACTGGCCCAGGCTGACCACCTCTGGTCGCAGCCGTCTCCAATGCGTGGTGACAGAGCTCCAAAGAGACACTGGCTCCTCCCCCAGCCCTTCCTGCTCCGGGCAGAACCTTGGCGTCCTGACACTGCGCCCACCCAGCCACCCAGGCACAGGACACAGGCTGGCGGTGACAGCATCCATCTGCCTAGGCCTCCTCGCAGGAGAAGCTCGCTCGCGACGCCCGCACTGCGATCACACCGGCTGCGTGCACACCGGACACCCCGTGGCAGCGCTGGCCAGGACCTCACCTTGATGTGCTTGTAGGGCGGGGGCTTGCGCTCGCTCTCCTGCGTTTCTCGGGCTTCCCGCTGAAGTTTGATTTCACGGAAACGAGCTTCGGCTTCTTGCAGCGCTAAAAAGTCAATGAAACACGAGCACGAGGCTTCAGTGAACAAATACGTCCGTGGTCAAGCTCTGTGCGTACGTGACGGCTCACCCCCAACTCTCAGCTCACTGCTACGTGTGGTTTCCAGTCTCCGCAGCCTACGGGGTGTGCAGGGCTGCCCAGGGGGATTCTAAACATGGCAGACGTTTTAGCAGGACAGAGCTCCGAGGACACCCAGCTACACAAGACCCTGGTGGTGCTTTGCGCCAGCTCACCACCGCCAGGCTGCTGTGCGGGTGACCGCTGCAGCCTGCCCCCTGGCTGCGGTCAGTGACAGGTGCCAGGTGTCACTAATGGCCACTGGTCAGGTCTGCACAGGGCTCCAGCGTTAGTCAGGAGACCAGACAGCCTGACTGGACCGCGTCCAGCTAACACCCAGCTCTCAGCTCCCTTGAAGTTTCAACTCTCTTCTGGTATCAACTTGGGAGCATCTTTTGAGACCTGCAGTCCTCACTGAGACCCGAGTGCCACTGTGGACAGTGGACCGGGGCCTGCAGTCCTCACTGAGGCCCGAGTGCCGCTGTGGACAGTGGACAGGGGCCTGCAGTCCTCACTGAGGCCCGAGTGCCGCTGTGGACAGTGGACCGGGGCCTGCAGTCCTCACTGAGGCCCGAGTGCCGCTGTGGACAGTGGACAGGGGCCTGCAGTCCTCACTGAGGCCCGAGTGCCGCTGTGGACAGTGGACAGGGGCCTGCAGTCCTCACTGAGGCCCGAGTGCCGCTGTGGACAGTGGACAGGGGCCTGCAGTCCTCACTGAGGCCCGAGTGCCGCTGTGGACAGTGGACAGGGGCCTGCAGTCCTCACTGAGGCCCGAGTGCCGCTGTGGACAGTGGACAGGGGCCGGCGTCCTCACTGAGGCCCGAGTGCCGCTGTGGACAGTGGACAGGGGCCTGCAGTCCTCACTGAGGCCCGAGTGCCGCTGTGGACAGTGGACAGGGGCCTGCAGTCCTCACTGAGGCCCGAGTGCCGCTGTGGACAGTGGACAGGGGCCTGCAGTCCCTCACTGAGGCCCGAGTGCCGCTGTGGGACAGTGGACAGGGGCCTGCAGTCCTCACTGAGGCCCGAGTGCCGCTGTGGACAGTGGACAGGGGCCTGCAGTCCTCACTGAGGCCCGAGTGCCGCTGTGGACAGTGGACAGGGGCCTGCAGTCCTCACTGAGGCCCGAGTGCCGCTGTGGACAGTGGACAGGGGCCTGCAGTCCTCACTGAGGCCCGAGTGCCGCTGTGGACAGTGGGACAGGGGCCTGCAGTCCTCACTGAGGCCCGAGTGCCGCTGTGGACAGTGGACAGGGGCCTGCAGTCCTCACTGAGGCCCGAGTGCCGCTGTGGACAGTGGACAGGGGCCTGCAGTCCTCACTGAGACCCGAGTGCCGCTGTGGCAGTGGACAGGGGCCTGCTTGACAGCCTGCAGCTGTGCCACTCACTGAGCCGGGACACAGGCTCCCCGTGCATGCTGCCCTGGCTCATGCCCGTCTGCAGCCCCGTGACAATGTTCCTCTCCCGTCTCCTCGCCTGCCGACCTCACGCTCAGCTCAGCCATCAGGGTAGATGTCTGTCTACCTGCCCACACCTGACGCCCAAGTAGCTGGTAAAGGGAGCCCAGTGCTCGAGGTCCAGACCACAGGCAAGCCCACCCCCACCTTAACAACAGCTCAGCCAGAAGACACGCCGCACATCCGCACTGACTCCGCTTCCTAGCCACACTGTAACGCATGCTGGTGAGAGTCCACACCAACCACAACTCTGCTGCAGAAACTGAACAGCCTGCCTCGTCCTGCGCCCAGGCTCAGTCAGCAAACCTCTACTTCGCTCTCATGAAAGCAGAGCCAGAGCACTCAGCCCGGCTCCCAACAGAAAGCAGGGTTAGCACCGCGACCGGTTTCACTCCCCCGGGAATGTCCGTACCGTTTTTGAAGACTCTTCCGATCCCTCTGACCCCCTGGTAGCGGCTGCCCCGGTCCCCCTCCATGTACGGGAACACTCGAGCCTGATGCGTCCAGTAATAATCTTTAGACCCAAAGAAAAACACAGGGAATTCTCCAGTCTCGTGCTTCATTTTCTGAATATTTGGGGGGACATTTTTGGGATGGCAAACTTCTGCCGGCCACCATCTATTATAAATATTAAAAACAGGATTCACAGACTCTTCAGAGAGTGGCATTCGCGTCCACACTGTCAAGCACTGCAAAGCAAAAACACAGTGAGGGGGGCAGGCAGGGTCCCGGCCTCGCACCTGTAGTTCCCGAGCTTGACCCAGACGATGTCCTGGTGATGCAGCTTCTTCCCCGCCCTGCAGTCATTGCAGAACCAGCTGCCGTCGGGCATGTCGATGCTCAGGCAGTCGGGGTGGAAGGCCGCCGGGCAGGACTCGCAGCACAGGAGGCTTCCCCCTGCAAGGGAGAGTGGCTCAGCCGAGGCCGCCGTGTCTGCTCGGCAGCCCCTGCGCCTCTGACCCCACAGGCATCTGGGACCGGTGACCAGGACTCTGACGCAGCGTTTCGCCATGACGACTTCCCACGAGTCTGCGGCACGATCTCGGCCAGCTCGGGCCTGACACGGTGCACCACGCGCTACGACTCGTGGCACACGGGAAACTATGGGGCCACGAGCCAGCCCCGCAGCGGCGTGCACCCCCCCCCCGTGGCTGCTGGGGCGTGGAGGAGCGGTCCCCGCCTCACCTTTGGAGCACACGAAGCACCAGCTCACGTTGACGTGGGTATGGTGCCGCTTCCCCTTCCGCGCAGTGAAGTGGGCGGTGCAGACGATGCTGTGGGACGCGATCACCGAGCAGCCTGCCGCCAGGCACGCGTCCCCTCCGTGGTAGGCCACGGGGCAGCGCACGCACCGCATCATCTTACCTGCGGAGAGAGATGCTGAGGCTGGCCCCACAGCAGGGGGCCAGCGCCTGCGAAATAACGGGGGGAGGGGAACCCGTGTCCTCAGGGCAAAGCTCTTCAAACCGGCAAACCTTCCAAGGGCTGGCAGTAAGCCCCTGACTTTGCAGACCTTGATACATCGGACTTCAGATTCAACGGACAAAATTTCCGTTCTGTATGTCATACGTGAAAATTAACACCCTGTTAAATTGAAAATGCTTTTAACCAAGATTTGTTTATCATTGAATTAACAGGGGTTTTTTTTGTTATTAATTCACTGTTGTTCTCAACACATTTTAGCAAAAAGATCGTGTTGGAAACAGTCATTTCACTGACGTGAGCAATCGCACGTCTGCAGCTGCCGTCTACGTATTAAATCCGAGAGCCACCGCCTGCGGACAGTGGCGAGGGATGAGTGTGACCACTTGGCAGGGGCCACCGTGGACTCTGGTCACCTGGCCTTTCCGCAGCAATTTTTTTTTTAACCCTCACCTGAGAGTATTTCTCCCTTGATCTTTAGACAGAGCGGGGGGGGGCGGGGGGGGGGCTCACTGTCTGCAGCGGCTTCAGCGCCCGAGGCAGGGCTCCCGCGAGTGTCCCTGAGGCTGACTGCGGAGGCGGCATTTACTAGGCCCCCCCGGAATACGTTTGAATGACAGTCACGGGTCTGGAAAACCTTCTTGTGATATTTAACTTTTCATACACACTTAACCATAATTACACACACCACACACGTGCCGTTACATAGGTAAAGACAGGTACACGAACTAATCTGTACCGTTCTAACTCGCCCAACGAAAACCTGTGCGTGCGGCGGACTTTCGGCTGCCAGCTCGCCCCTCGCCCGAGCCCACTCGATGCATCGAGGTTCTGGACCCTCAGGACGCTTCCCAGGCTGGGTGCCGCTGCCTCTGGGCTGTCCCAGGAGCACCCACCAAAGGCCAGCACACGCCCCCAAACACCCCAGGCAGGGCCACCGGCCCTTGGAGGCAGACTCGCTTGGCTGACGCCCACTCAACCAGGCAGCGACACACCTAACGTAACAGACACGATTTGACTTGAAATCTTTCTTGTGTGTGAAGGACCATCAAGGTAAGAATTAACAGGATCTGTCAAAACACTTCCCAGGTCCCGCTAACACTAGTCTCGTTACAATGACTTTCGGGGCAGGAAGGGAGACCAAAGGGGTGGGGTGGGGGCAGCAAGTCCTTTGTCAAGAAAACCCAACCTGTGCCGAGTCGGCAACAGAAAACATGGGTTTCTGCAGACAGCGCCGCAGGTGCACGCCAGCCCCCGGTGTTACCTTTCGCGGGGCGAGGGTTCGAGGGGTTGGACGCGTGGCAGCTGACACAGCTGTGCAGCGGGCAGCGGAAGCCGCGGCTCTCGAACACCGTCAGGGGGAACTTCCTCACGCACGCGTCGTGGTAGAACTTCCCGCACTGGGACACGGCGCAGCGTCGGACCTCGGCCGCGCTCTCCTTGCACACGAAGCAGGAGTGGATCCCTGGCCGTGGGGAGGGGCCAAGAGGCGAGGACAGGGATGAGCGGTCCCTCGGCCCCGCGGGCAGCCACGCGGCGGCAGGCTGCTGGAGCACCTGTCACCCCCACCTGGAGCCGTGCAGCTCCAGAAGCCTGGTCAGGGTGCCGGTGGCGCTCGGCCCGGCCAGGAGGTGGGCTCCACTCAAGAGGACCAGCAGAGGGAGCAGCGAGGCTCCCGAAGGCGGGCTCGCCCTCTCACACCGAGCGCTGGACCGACCATGTGAAGAGCCAGTGCCCTGACGGGAGGTGTCACTGGTGCCATGACCTGAGGGAACTGCCCGGGAGGTGGCAGTGATGCCCCAACGGCGGGGAGACCCAGCGCTGAGGCGTGGAGCTCAGGGTGAGCATGCTGGCCGCAGCGGTTGAGGGGGCCGCCCTGGTGGGCAGGGCGGAGGAGTGGGCGCGGCCCCGCAGCTCAGAGCTGGGACCCCCGGTACTTGCCTGAAGTGCACTCACTGCAGATGAACCTGCCTTCCGGCGGCCGGGACAGCCCGAGGCAGGCCGGGTGGAAGGCCCCGCAGCAGGGCCCCTCGCAGAGCAGGAGGCTGCCCGTCTTCTCACACACCTGGGGGCAGAGGCGTGGGTGAGGCCCAGCCCGCCCTCCCGCGACCCAGGGGCAGAGCCTGTGCGGGCCCCACACCGGGCACCGGGCACAGACGACCTCAGCAACAGCAGAGGCCCAAGGCCCACTCCAGAGGCCACAGGTGAGGTCCGAAAGCCAGGAGCACGCCCACACCCCTTGTCGAAGCCAAGCTCGTCCCAAGGCTGCTGAGGGCCGAGCTGACCAGCACGGGGTCCGACGGACACGCTCAGGGTGCTGACCTGCCCCAGGGCCTGCCCAGCATGTGCCCCTGGGGGAACCAGACGTCCCGGCAGCGTGCGCCTGCTCCGGCCAGTTCCTCCCCACTCCATGGACGAGTGTCCGTGTGCGGGCCTCCCCTGCACGGGCACGTCCCACGTGGGGTGAGTGACCCGTGCACTGGTGGCCCGGGGCCTTCAGAACGAAAGCCAGCAGTGCCCAGACGCCGGCTCGCTCCTGGGACCAGCGGGCACGGCACGAAGTGGCAGCCCCTCACCTGGCACATGGCCCCTCACCTGGCACACGTGGTCCTTCTTGGCAGCTACTCCTCGCTCCGACTTCTTAGACGAGAAGGACACTTCAGTCTGCGTCTCGTCCGCGCTTTCGCATGGGGACTCCGGAGGCTCATCTCCCGGGCCGTCCGACACCTGTGGGCGAAGGAGGGACGCGCTCAGCGCAGGCCCCTGGGCGGGGCCACGCACACGTGTGCCGCACGCGCACCGGCCTCGCCGCCAGCCAGCTCCTCTGGGAGGCTCACCACCCGCTGCTCTCCTGGTGCCGCAGCGTGCTGGTGAGCCGGCAGGTTCCGGGATGGACTTCGTTCCAGCCGGTACTCAGAGCCCGTGGGCACGCACGTGAGGCAAAGGGTTAACGTGACAGGCCTGTGACGGTCCTCAGAAATGAAGTGACTACGAGCACCCCATGTGCTCTGGTGGGTGAACAAAGATGGGCTTTGGGACAGAGAACGCTGACCTTTGTCACCCAGCAGGTTACAGTCCAAGTACTTTAAGAGAAACGTATCAGTGCCAACTGAATTCCTGAAAACCAAAGTGCAGTCACACTGGGGGCCTTCCTGTCGGGGTCCAGCTCGTGCGCAGCTGCCGAGCTGACTCGGTGTTTCGGGAGCATGCCGTGCACCCCGCTCGGCCAGGTGCGCACACCTGTCCTCTCTCGTCCTCCTCCGGGTGGGGAGGCCTACCTTCCCCACCACAGGGAGCTGGCCACGGCCAGGTGAGGGCTTCCTTTGTTAACAAGTGAGTCTGAGTGAGGAGGGTGTGGAAACTCCGCCCGGCACAGCTGGGGCTGACGTGCTGCCTCCCCTGCACTCAGACCTCTGGGGACCGGCCACGCCCTCTCCGTCCTCACTGTGCCTCCCCACTGACCAGCAGCAGTGACTCCAAACAGAAACCAGTGAACCTTTCGTCAGAAAACTTCCATGTATCAATTTGAGGGTTTTTTTAAAACCTAAAAACACATTTAGTATTTACCTGATGTTTGGTAGATGTTGAAAACTGAATTTTCAACAGAGCAAACGTAGGAACTAACTTCCTGTCTGCTCAGTGGCCACAAGGCACCGTGGGACAGGCTCGCTGTTGCCCACGAACACCAGCGAGAGCTGAATCGGGCCACACTCACAAACTAGCAACAAAAACGAGGACAAGCCCCAGACGACCCGCCCGGCCCTGCAGCCTGTCACGGCCGTGCCGACCCAGCTCACCGGCAGCACCGTGAGAGAAAAGGAAGCACAGTGAGCACGGGCCTCGCGGGCTGGGGGAGCCGGAGCTGACGCGGCCGGACGTCTGGAGGGCAGGGGCTCTGCCGTGTCCGTGGGGGGCACAGGCGTGGCCCCCGTTTTGGCCTCGATGCTCTCACGGCCAGCACACCCCAAGAACAGTCTCAAGAGAGGGCGGCCTTTGAAACGATCCCCACGTTTTCCAGGAGGAAGGACACCCAGGGTCTCACGCGGTGGAGCTGCTCACCGCGAGGCCACCTGGACGGGCCACGGGGCCCACAGCCTCCTGTCACCCCACCCCCTCCTCCTCCAACGTGAACACCTAGGAAGAAGGCAACTGAAGAAACACTGTGCGAGCCTCCAAAGTTCACGTCCTCCCGACGCGGGCCCCACACAGGGCCGAGCACTGGAGACCTGTGAGCCAGGGGCCGGGGCAGCCGGGGCGGCCGGGGCAGCGTCCACACGGCCTCAGGCGGCCTGCCTGACGGCCCCAGGCCCAGAGAGCGGGCCTTCGGCGTGGCTCCAAGGAAGACGGCAGTGCCTACCCGCAACCCACATTCCTCCCTGGACGGCTGGACCCGACCTGGAAGCTGAGAGAAAAATGCACGGAGAGAAAGACAGAAAACACAGACCAGGCCTGGGTCGAAGGAAAGAATAGCACCTTTTATTTAAGATTTACAGAGACGTGAGCACGTTTCCACTGGAGAATTCCCACATTAACAGTTTGTTCGAGGAAGCAAACACTGTACACATTGGAATGGAGACACAGCTGCAAAGACACAGGTCGTTCCCCAGCGGGGTCTAAGGTGCACATACAGAACAGACCTTACAACATCAAGTCCATGACACAGTGCAGACAGTCGTCCCCAGCCCCCTCCCTCCGGCAAGCAACTCCACACTAGCACAGTCGGGGTCCAGGCTCCGCCAGGCGCGCGGCCCGCTCCAGCGCGGGCTCTGCGTGCGCCAGGGGCCGGTACTTACTCGGAGATGCGTTTGTGAGAGCGACAGTCACCTGTACGGCCCCAACACAGTCCCAAGTCTCAGTCTACGACATCTACGGTCTAGTCCATATCCAATAGGATGCATTTGGAAAAAGAAAAATGGAGTAACTGAACGGACACCGGCGGTCAGCCTTCCCGCTGCCTCCCGAGGGCGCCAAAGCCTCGCCGGCCCGGCTCCTGCCTTCGGTGCCCCGGCGCCTCCTCTGCTCCGCTCACCGCTGCCCTGAGAACCATGCTCCCTGGGGGCCAGGTGCAGCCTCCTCCACACACAGACAGGGTGCTGCTCACGGGGACAGTCACGCACACACGGGGCCTTGGCCGCAAGGACCAGCTCCTGGAAGCCATGCAGCCGGAGGGCCCCCCCCCCCGGAGCCGGCGAGCAGACCGGTGCACAGGCCGGGCTGCACCAATCCTGAGGCACCATCACAGACCTCGAGCAGCGAGCATCCCCACGCTCGTGCCTTTGTGAAGAGGTGACCAGAAGGCCCGTCCACACAGAGTGCTGGACTTACAGACGTGGGCCTGTGCCCAGCAGATTTCATCAACTTAAAATCAGAAGACTGACCTCAAACAGGCAATGAGGTGCCAGAGTGGAATCAGCTTTTCAGTGAGTCATTCATCACCAGATGCTACAGTGCACAACGCTTTTCGCTCAAGCAACCCTCCAGAGAACTCAGACGAGAGCCCACCCAGCCGCCCCCAGCTTCTAGGGCTGTCAGAGTCACACCCTGCCCTTCTGACCCACACAGCTGCTGTGCGGTCCCCAAGCCCAGGACATGCCAGCGAGAGCCACGTGGGGGCCAGCCCTTGTCACAGGTAACACGCGTCTCCAGATCAATCCTGCCGACCGATGTCCTCGGCAGAGGTGAGCGGGGAGGGTGACTGAGGACCAGAGCAAAGCCCCTGCCTCAGCCCCGCCCCATCAGCACTGCAGCAGAGCAAACCCCTGTGCTCCGGGGGCTGGGCCACGCCCCCCGCCACCTCAGCTGTTTCTTGAAGATGCAACATGCTTCAGTGGTTAGCACGCTTCAAAACACGTGCTGACAAGTTACATGCAATAACCCAACTACATGTAGGCCAGGAAAACTACACACCTCATCACAAGGTGTCCAATAGGGTGAGGCTGAGTCCTCAGTCTGACACGGAGCCCAGCCGGGTACACAGTGAACACGCCCGGGAGCCCGACCCCTCAGGAGCATGGGCACAAGGATGTCCACAGCGCAGGTGTCCACAGCCCAGGTGTCCCCACCCAGGAAGCACTGTCTGCTTCCTCTCACTGGCAAGTGCTCTCGAGAACTCTGGAATTCTAGCTAAAACAACATTAACGAATCCAACTTCACCGACCAAAGCCCCACCCCCGAGGACCCGGCACTTCTCGACAACGGTGCACCTGGAGGCCGCCAAGGGCCCTCAGAGCGCCGAGAACCTTCGCCCACAGGATACTGCGTTTCGATCCTTCCAGCAAAAGGCTAATTTAGATTCGTGATCTCAAAAATAAACAGTTCTAACAACTACTTTTTCTGTCTGTCAATTTTTTTTAAAGGCGATGAGAAGTATGGATTTCCATAGCATAAAATGGTCCCCGTGGGCAGGTCTGCCTGGCAGCAATCCAAAGGCCTCTGTGCCCTGCAGCAGCGTGTGGTCAGGAGCCACAGAAGGGAGCAGCCCACCTGCTGTCAGGCGGTCGGGCTGAGCCCCCTGGAGCACGGGGCCCCTTCCCCAGACACCTCGCAGTGGAGGGCTGGTCTGCACTCAAACTGCGACGCCATTCCTGACAGTCGACACATCTCGAGTGACCGTCGGCACAGCGCACGCCAGGCGTGGGGCCAAGCGCCCTCGCAAGGCTGTTTTCATCACCCAGTTCACACCCACACACGGACGCTTTGGGTTGGGAACTAGATGCTGAGTTACTGTCTTCTTCGGGCATTTGTACGGCAGACACAGCGGGCAAGCCGCCCGCATGACGCAGGGGCTCTGCCAACATCACCCCGCTCCTGGGGTAGCCCTCGCAGTGCCCCCTCCCCTGCCTGGGCCTGCGCACACGCTGACCCTACGACCCAGAGCTCCCGGAACTCGGGCCTCCAGGGAGGTCCCCTCAGTCCTGGGCTTTCCGCTTGGCGGAGCGAACGCGACAGGCAGGACGCCCACCACGGAGGACCGGACACACCTGCACCTCAGACCACAGCTGCAGACGGAACCTGCGAGCCTCCTCTGAGCAAGGCCCTGGGGAGCCGGGGTGGGCAGCAGTGCAGGGGAACCACGGCCAGACCACCACCGCCACCCACACCGGCTCACTGAGGGGCTGCTCCATGCTGGGCGGGCTGCAACCCGGACCCTCACTGAGGCTCTGGCTCTGCCCAGCTCCTTCTCACAGCCGCCCACTCAGCGCGCATCACAACAACCCTGCGCCGGGTCCCTGCAGAAAAGCATCTCAGCAACAGGCAGCTCAGACGGCTGGGGCGAGCAGGGCCCCGCATGGTGGCCGCTCCGGGACCCAAAGAGAGCCCGCGTGAGTCTGCAGAGCACGCCGCTCCCGTCCTGGAGCTCAGAGCAGAGCCCACTCGCCCTGGGGAGCCACGGCCCACCCGGGGTGCTCCTCTCAAGGCCTCCGCTGGCTGCTGGAGGGGACCTCCTGCCGAGTAGCACGCTGAGCACACCTGCCTCCCCGCCCAGCCCCCCGGGGGACGCTGCCACCCTACCCCCCGCCGAGGGCATGCACCCCGTCCCCCACGTGCCACGTCCTCCGCTGAGGCTAATTTTATGCTGCTCTGTGGACAGAGTCCTCTGGCCCCCTTCCTTCTTCGTGACGGACAGGAAGGCACTGCTGCTCCCTGGTAGCGGCGGCCACCACCGAAACACCCCGCTATGACCCACTCGGAGCCCACGTTCTCGTCAAGAGGCCTTCTGGGCGAGTCTTTATTTCGGTGACCATTTCTTGAACTAGGGCTACTCTCATATCACCAGTTTCTTACATTCTCTAATTTAGTGACTCACTCTTTGAGCTTTTCACATCCCTTAGGGAACAACAGCTCAGACGGCCCCACTGTGTCCAGGCAGAGCCCGCCCGCCCTCAGCCGCCCGCGCTCGGCTGTCCCTCCGATGGCCAGAGCCCCGACTGGCTGCTGCCGCTTGCAGGAGGGGCCAGAGGACCACTCTCCTCGCCACACAAAACGTCACGTCCGGATGGGGGGAGCATCACTTTATTGTCGTAACCGTGTCACAAGCGAACCGCTGAGGAGCCTGCCGCGCCGACACCCCAGCGCCCTGCATGCGTCACAGGAAGTCACGGCTCAGAACAGCGTTCGTCAGGAACGCCCGAGACGCGCACAGTGTCAGTCTGCGGGAATGACCGCAGGCCGCTGGCCCGCAGGGAGAGCAGCAGCCCCGCCTCCGTGAGCGGGAGCCCGGGCACGTGAGGCCTGTTCGCGCCGCCGGAGACGGGCACCTCCGTGTGAAGGCCGGTCGGGGTGCCAGGTGAGCGGTCTGCACGACACACCAAGGACCCTTCGCCCACAGACTGACTGTGTGCTGTCCCGGCAAACTGTTCAGTAGAAAAGACAGAACCGAACACGCTGGAGACCACTGAGCACGTGCGTGGCGAGCGCGCTCCGCCGGCGAGGACGGCCTGGGCGTGTGCGGTCTGCTCTCTGCTCTGCAGGCTCCGGCGCCGGCGCTGGTCAGTGGCAGGTCAGTGGGCTACGAGCGGAGGACAGAGGGGCCTCTGGCAGGACTGCCCCTCTGTGGTCCTCTTCGCCGCCAGACAGCCTGACTGAGGGCGTCCGCCACCTGAATCCACAGTGACCACTGGGCGGGATGTGTTTCTATTATGGGATGGACGTGACTGTTAAATGGCCTTCGACAGGTATCTTACCTTGGTCTTAACATTTGTTATCTGTTTTCTTCACTGTGTGTGTGTTAATACCAATAAAAACAGACTGTCACCCATCTTCACAAGTGAGTGTGAGGAGTGGCAGGCGCCCGCGGCAGGCATCGGGACACGCACCGTTAGGTGCAGCACAGGGCGGCCGGGTTCAAGTCCAGCTCGACTGCTGTGGGTTCCCACCAAAGCTGTTACCAGTGAAGGCGAAAAAAATAAGAATTTGCTCTACTAAGGGAATAAGAGATAAGTTACAAAACGTCAATCACACCACCCACCACCAGCCGTGGTCATGCAGCCGCGTTCTGCCCACCCTCCTGCCGGGGGCGCAGCTGCAGCCAGCGACGGAGTGCGTCTCCTTCGCCAGACTCCCTTTCCGGGAGGGTCCGCCCAAACGCGACCTAGACGCCTGCACTACCAGCTCTGCCCAGTTCCTCGTTTGGGTCAAGGGTGACGGGAAGGACACGGGACCCGGAAGGGGGCGTGTGGAGCCCCAGCAGCATGGCCACGGCTCCCGCCGGGGGCAGGGGCGACCAGTGGTCTGCAGGGGTGGGTGACACGACACTCTGTCCACGAGCTGAAGGCAGCCAGCGTGGCAATAACAGCCACCTCTGTCCACCTGGCGTGGTTTCAGGGATGTGCTTTCTGCCCTCAGATCCCAGGTCCGCAGAGCGACCCGAGGGAAGGCTAGTGGCTGACGTTCCTGCGTGAGGAGCACAGCGCCCACTGGGAGGTCTGTCACCTTCCAACGCAGGAGGGAGATCATGTGGCAGAAACAGACCTAAATCAGCAGCTCCCAGGCTAGAGCACTGACAACGCCCTGGCCGGCGTGGCTCAGCAGTTAGAGCGTCGCCCGCACACGGAAGGGCTGCAGGCTTGATTCTGGTCAAGGGCACGTGACTGGGTTGCAGGTTTGATCCCTGGCCCTGTTGAGGGAGGCAGCCAATCGATGTGTGTCTGTCTGTCTGTCTCTCTCCCTCCCTTCCACTCTCTAAAAACCAATGGAAAAATGTCCTCAGGTGAAGATTAACAACAACGACAAAGAATTAACAAATGACTAAATCTAATGACTATAAAATACCTCCCCAGTTCAAAATGAACATCTGAACCACCAAGACCCTACTCAGCCTGGTTACGATGAACGCAGGCGGTCAGGCTGTCCCCGCGCCCGCCCCGGGCGCCTCGCCCACAGCTCAGGCCAGAGCGCTGGCGGGACCGGCACGGCCTCTGCACCTCCCCGACTGTGCCTGGCAAGAGCGTGGGCCCAGCTCCACGGAGCACAGCGCCGGAACGTGGGTGCCGGACAGGCTCTCTGAGCCGTTTTAAACAAAAAGCAACAAGTAAAAGGGTCTCTGAACAGAAACCTTACGTTTGGGTTGTCGTCTCCAGAACTAAGCCGCCGTCCAGTGGCCTTGCAGGGCACTAGTCTGAACTGGACGGGGAGACGGAGACCACTCTGCCCAGGCTGTGCCTTTCCACATTCCAACAAGCTCCGGGGACTCGGTGAAGAGTCCTCACTGCGTCCCTGGGTGTGCCCACGTGAGACCGCCCAGTTACCCACACCCTTGGCCATGAGGAAGCCCTGCCCGGCCACAGGGCAGCCCGCCACCACGCTGAGCGGCCGGAGCCAGCAGAGTGCTGTGTTCACGGCACTGAGGACGGGCAGCCAGCTCAAGCCCCTGCACCCGGGCAATGGGAATACCCCCAGAGGCTGGAAGGCCTGCCCCTCGCCTGACAGCGCAGGACGCCCGCCCCCCGAGGACCGTGGCAGAGACAGAAGTGCCACCTTCCGACCCAGCGGGGAACCGTCTGCTCCTGGCCTCGCTGCCTGCCCTGAAAAGCTCGGAGCTGTCTCCTCATCAGCCTTCTAGAAACAGGACCCCGTCTGCGATGAGCGCGCCCCAGGAACAAGAGAAGGGGAAGATGAACTAGAAACAAGCTCTTGGGCAGCCACTGGAGTCCAGGGCCCCCACTCCCTCTGGACCGTGTTGCAGCATCTGCACTGGAGGCTCTTTCCGTGTGGTCTCTCGTGACGGCAAAGACCAGAGCTGCTGCTGGTCTGGAGGTCAGGCTCCAGGGACTGTCACCCTCACACCTCTGCGAGCCCAGAAAACAGGGGTCATTGCCACAGTGGTTCTGACTCACCTCAACACTCAACTACCCAAGAACATGCCAGAATTCAAAGGACCAAAGAGCACATGGACCCAAAGCCACAGCCCCCACGGCCTTGGCCCAGCAGCCAGCGAATCAGAGTGTGGTGCCCGGCCCTGGCCTCCCGGGTGACTGCCCTGTGACCGAGTCAGTTCGGCAGACAGTCACATCGGGACAGAGCAACCTCCTTCCACGTGAGGAACACAGACGCCATTTGGGAACTAGAGGCGCGAGCCCACGCGTGACCACGCACGTGGACGCACCCTGCGTGGCCTCCTCCCGCGCGGGCTCAGTGCAGACCTGAGTCGTGCCGCGGCCGTGGAGACACTGCACGGTGCTGACCGAGCGGCCGGGCTCAGTGGGCAGCCTTCGTGGGAATGCGTTTTACCTCGTTCTCGGTTAAGGAGGCAGAGGGAGATGAACTCTTGCTAAATGTGAGAGCGGAGGCGGTGGCTTCGGACGCCCGGTTCCGCTTCTTCAGTGGTTTGCAGGCATCAGACAGGTGTTTCGTTGCTGCAAAATAACATGAGTTCATAAAGCGAAATTTGAAATCTTAAATCACTGATCCCACGACTACTTGACAATCACTCTCTTCTCAAGGAGACCCGAAGAAGGCTCCTTTGTCGTACCAAAGGCTTCAGTTGTTTATTTATTTTTTATCCTCACCTGAGGACATTTTGGCATTTATCTTCAGATAGAGCGGGGAGGGAGGGGGGGAGAGAACCATCGATGTGAGAGAGAGACATCGAGTGGTCGCCACCCGTGTGACCCCACCTGGGGCCGGGGACAAACTGCAACCGAGGTACGTGCCCTTAGCGAGAACCGAACCTGGGACTTTCTGGTCCACAGGCCGACGCTCTGACCGCTGAGCCAAACCGGCCAGGGCAAAGGCTTCAGTTTTCATTGTGAGGACGTCTGAATGTGAAGAAAGGCAGACAGGCCGCACAGTGAGCAACACCCCCCTGCGTGGCCCTCGGACACCACCCCGGGCCCTCAGCTCCACGCGCGCCAGGCCCCAGGCCCTGCCAGGCATCCCGGAGGAGGCCCCAGACGTGCCACCCGCCGCGAGCAGGTGAGCACACCCCTCCGCAGCACAGGTTTGGGCGCAGCTGCAAGCCCCCCGCACGTCCCAGGGGCCCCAGGCCCACCCCGCGCCCAGCCGCACACGCTGTCTCGGAGCCGCTGTGCTGTGAACCAGGACAGCACCTCCAGCGAAGAGGCTGCAGCCCCCTCCAGCTTCACATCCGACGTCCCTCTCAACTCCGTTTTCCTCCCTGACCAAGAGCGTGGGATGGAGCAGCCTCTAATAAGTGACCAGCAGCCCTGGCCGGCGGTTCAGGGCTCAGGGCACCGGCCCCATGCGCCAAGGCAGCAGGTGTGACCCCGGTCGGGGCACATGTCAGAATCGAGCAATGAATGCATGAGTGAGTGGAACAGGTCCATGTCTCTCTCTTAAAATCAATCAATAGTTTTCTTTAATTGCGTAAAAGGAACACCCAAGCAGACAGACCAGCAGACGAGGGGCGGCCCCTCCCGCTGTCCGACCGCTCCCGCTCAGGACGCTGGACGCTCCGAGTCGGCGCTGGCCCCACAGTGGCACCGGAACTGAAACGGGGAGTTCGTGGCCCTGACCAGCACCGTCGAGGAGGCCACACAGCTCTGGTTTGGGTCACCCCTCTAGCCCAATTTCACTTTGAAAACAAGCCGTGCAGAAATCAGGAGTCGCTTCACTAAGACCAGCTGAGCGCTTAGGGCTTGCTTCCCAAGTGCACCGCGCGCCCTGGCCCGTCCAGCCGACACTGGTCTGACTCCCCTGGAGGCTCCGGTCCCTCCCAGCCCAGCCTCCGGCCACACCGCCCAGCGGAGAGCCCTGTCCAGCCCCGGCCAACACCGCCAGGAGCCACGGGCCACATTACCTGCCTGGCTCTTCAGGGAGGAGGCCACCTCGATGGCCTGGCAGGAGCCTGTCCGCGATGTTCTGTCAGCAACGGTCTCTCTCTGTTGTTTGAAACAAAAATAGAAAAACAAATAAAGGAAAAGAAAAGAAAGGAAAGTGTCTCCTAATGTGGACTAACCTGCTGCTGGAAGCCATGTGACAGAACGTCCTCCCAGGAGTGTCCGGCCCGGCCCAGCCCGGCCTCGCACCATCCCCACTCGGGAAGGAGCCCCGCCCGGCCCGGCCTCGCACCGTCCCCACTCGGGAAGGAGCCACACCCAGCCTCGCACCGTCCCCACTCGGGAAGGAGCCCCCGCCCGGCCACTTGCACACTGCTAGGGCCTCCTCAAGCTCGACTTGACCAGTAGGCGGCTTTCAACGTGTGCCCAGGCTGCCCCCGGCTCAAGTGGCAGGCAGGGAGCGGGAAGGACCCTCTCTGACTGCTGAGTCCCTGAGGTGGTGCCAGAGTAAGTCAGGCTGAGGGGGTCACGCTCCCAGACGAGAGTCACACAAACCACACACACCGTCGTGACACACATCTCACAGCCGAGAAGGGGACCTGAGCTTTCTGTACAGCCTGGGAACTGGAGTAACAGTGGAAATGAGTCGGGGGCACCGCGGCGAAGGCCTCGTGGCCAGCCTGCCACCCGCACCCGGCTACCCAGGACGAGACAGAGCGGTGCCCGCACCAGGGAGAGGGTGGCGGCACACTCGGGTGATGCAGACTGGAAAGCAGAGCCGGCCCTGCCGCTGCACGCTGGGGGCTTCCTGAGCTGCCTGGAGACAGGCGTCTGCCGGCCACTGAACGTGAATGCTGAGATTTCAATGTCAGGGGCATGTTTAGGTAAATCGTTTATACAAACACTTCAAAGCAACTGTGTCAGCAAAGGCTGCTGGCAAGAGGCACCAGCGGAGGACTGAGCGGTGCGTTCCTAAGCTCGCTGCAGGGCACGGTCCCTCACGCGCCAGGAGCACGGGGCAGGGCCAGCCGCTCCCCTGCTCAGCAACAACGGCCTTGAGAGAGAGATGGTGACGCCGTGGCCAAGTGCGCACACGTCAGCAACACCTGGCATTTATTCCCTCCTCAAAGCAGAGCAAAGCGGTAGAAGAATCAACGTCCTGACGTTCAGCAGCATTCGTCTGGTGTTCTCCTCACGCCATAAACAACGCCCGTCAGCGCCACCAGAGCCACAGAACCCACAGTGGTCCCGTCCACTTAAGCTCCCGTCCCTGGAACGTTCCCTGGACATCAGGATCAGACCAATGGTCAAGCCCCAGGCGCCCAGAGGGCTCGCCTCTCCTTGAGCACCACAGGGGGCCGGGGCCACGGCTCCATTGGCCACGTGGACGTGGCGGCATCCCTCTCCTGTAGGCGCCGGGCGAGCTCTGGCCGACTCAAGTGGGGACGGGTTGAACTCCGAGGCTCGGGCCATGGCCCTGGCGCCAGGCAGCAGCTGTCGGTCGCATCGAACAAGCTGCGCAGCCTCCAGGGCTCCCGTCAGACACCACGAGATACTCATGGGGACCCAGGAAGTCCACTCAGTGCCTCTATGGGCTCTGAGACTTTTATCACATGCCTCATGGACACGGATACTGTGACGTGACTCACACGAACAAGCCCACAGACGAGGGCAACTCTTCCTGCGTGACTCACGGGACCTAGCATGCAGTGCTCAGTGGGGTTCATGTCAGCAGCAGCCCTGCTGCCAGGACCACCCTGAGAGCCCCAGGGCAGGGGGCTGGAGGGCTGGCCCTCATCCTGCCCCACCATCAGGGCATCAGGGTCCCACGCGGTCTTTCTGCCAGACAAACCCGGATGTTATTACCTTCCGAAGACCGTGCTTGTCAGCCCTGAGTCTCTTCCTGGGCGCGTCCTCAACCTCGGCGTCTTCTGTGGGGTCCTGTGTCCTCTTTGGGTGGCTTCTTTTTTTCCCATTTAAATGACCTAGGAATGGGGACAGGAACACACACATGCAAAGCTCTCCACAGCCACACGAGGCAACACGGGCACCCACTGCGCAGACCTGGGCAGGTCCCCTGCAGCCCCGCTCCAGGGCCCAGCACCACAGGCCCCGCCTCTGCACTTCGTGACTCGCAAGGGACTGTTTCAGAAACACCAAATTCTGGGGAACCCTCATCAAACCTAGGACTATTAGACCAGTATTTGCAATAATTACAATTTAGTGTACGATAGCATTAAATTTAAATATAATCTAGTACTTTTTAAAAAATCCTTCACTTAGCCCAGCTGGTGTGGCTCAGTGGCTGAGCGTCAACCCTGCACCAGGAGGTCACTGGTTTGATTCCTGTCAGGGCACATGCCCAGGTTGTGGGTCCGATCCCCAGTGCGGGGCATGCAGGAGGTGGCCAGTCAATGTTCCCTCTTAATTGATTTTTCTCTCTCTCTCCCCCTCTCTCTCTAAAAAAAATCAATAAAGAAAAATAAAAAATAAAAAAATATAACTTGCCCTGGCTGGTGTTGCCCAGCAGTTAGAGCATCGGCCCATGGACCGAAAGGTTGCAGATTTCATCCCTGGCCCTGGTTGGGCACATGCAAAAGGCAACCAATCAATGTATCTCTCACATCATGTTTCTCTTTCTCTTTCTCCCCCCCTTCCTTCTATTCTCTCCAAAGAAATTAAAAAGTAAAAAACATGTAACTTGCTACATTGTATATATTTCCTTAGAGAAGTATCCAAGTAACAGACACTCCATTTACATGTGCAAGTTCAGGGCGCATGTAGGTAACTCCCAGGACTGCCAACTACCCCAGACCTCAGTGCCCAGACAAGACGAGCGCACAGGCCCAGAGGGATTTATAACTGGGACACACCAGTGTTTATTTTCACAGAAACCCAACCTTTGCATTTGCATGACCATTTCAGAGGTTCTGGGTTTATTCCTGGACTGGTCTAACATCATGTGGGAGGGCAGTGTCACCCTTGAACCTAACTCCCGGGTGGGACAGAGCACACTGGTCGGCCCGTGGCGTCCAGCAGTGCCCAGGGCCGAGACAGAGCACTGGCCTCACAGTCAGGCCCAGACAGCTGGCAGCCAGCCTGCTGAGCGGCCTTGTGGGGCCCAGCTCTTGGCCCCCTCAGGAAGAGGCCTGTGGAGCGGTGGGCAGGGGGATCTGCTCAGCCCCTGCCCAGTGAGACCAGTTCTGACCCAGCTGCCCGTCCACAGGTATTCACTGGGCTACCAACACCTCAGCCGACAGTGCTGACAGCACCTCTTCCACGTCAAGGCCCCTTCATGAATGAGGCAACTGCGCTTCTCACAGAAACAGCCATGTGGCCGTCTGGATTCCTTGGGCTGAAGACAGTGGGGTGGCTGGCACCCTGCACATGACCCATCGTCCTGGTTGTCAGCACTGGGGTTCCTGAGACAAGATGGGCCGAGGGCCTCCAGGTGGGCGCACACCCAACGCACACGGGCAGAAGCCGGCCCCTCATCAACCACAGGCCCAGGACGGTCCACCAAGGCGGAAGGTGACACGGCCTCGTGCTCACTCGCTCTTCAAGGCTGAGCTGGGACGTCTCAGGGAGCCTGCCTTACCAAGTGGGGACACGCTCTGGGGTCGCCGTACTGCCTGCACTTCTGCCTTTCACAGAAAGCCGACCCTGCACAGCCTGTTACTTGCAACGCACACTGAACGAATGAGCCACATTCAGGGTTCATGTGACCGGACGCTGACGTGGAGATCTGGAAAGCTCCACAGACAAGAAGGAAAGGCTGCGTGGACATGGACATGTGCCGCGGGCCCACCGCCCATGTGTGCACCGGAGCACACGCAGACCGACCGCCACTCTGGGTCTCGGCCTCCTTGGGGGATTGGCACTTCGACATTTGGCCTGTACAAAACTCTCCAATGACAACCCTCGAGAGAGATAAAATTTTTTTGTATTTTGAACCAACACCAAGTACATCACTTATTTCCCGCATGTCTGAGCAGAGGACGAGCATGCGTTTTCTCCAGAGCGCCTTTCGCCCACTCCTGCCGCCTGCAGAGTTAGAGGAGGAGCAGCCTGCTTTCCAACAGGGAGCGAAGGAGGAGCCAGGACACCACACGCAAGGCGGGCCCTCGACCTCCCTGGGCTCGCCAGCTCTCGCCAGCTCTCGGCAAACAGGCCGGGCCCCTCCACTCAGGCGGGAGGGTGAGGGGCCCGCAGCCCAGCTGGGTCTTGCAGAACGGCACTCAGGACAGAGGGAGGACATCACACCACAGTGACCACACGCTCTGCGGCCGGCACAGTGCAAAGGTCAGAGGTGCTCTGCTGCCGCCCCGCACACACCACACCCAGGCGTTTACCAGAGTCTTCTTCCGACGGAGACGCGGCCCGGACTGCGAACTTGGTGTTGTAGCGGGCTTTCTGCTTCTCGTTCAGCATGCTCCACTGGGACCCCAGCAGCTCGCTGATCTCCTCCCCAGACGCGTCGGGGTGCTCAGCCACCACCTGTGGGCACAGGGCAGGGGCCTTTTAGAATTAACGGGCATCTCTATTCCCTCATCACAAACCGTGTCCCACAAAAGCTCTGAAGAGCCCCGCCAGTGTGGCTCAGTGGTTGAGCGTGGACCCTGCACCAAGAGGTCACTGGTTTGATTCCCAGTCAGGGCACATGCCCAGGTTGTGGGCCTGATCTCCAGTGGGGGGCGTGCAGGAGGCGGCCAATCGATGTTCTCTCTCTTCAGTGTTTCTCTCTCTCTCAACCCAATAAAGGGGAGGGGGGGGCTCCAAAGAGAACTCGTGTTTAACTGATGCCGAAACCCCCTGAAGCTCACGAGTGAGAACAGGCTGGAGCAAGCTATTTGAGCGGCGATGTGAACACAGGAGTGATAAATGGGAAGAGAAAATACAATTTTTGAAAATCATCACATTGCTAGGAAGCTACGGTTTCCCTGGCTACGTTGGTCAGTCACAGGAAAAGTCCCATGGGAATGCAACTCAGGAGCGTGTAGGGTCTGGGCCTGGCGTCGTGTTGGTGGGAACACCCCCCTCCAGGGACACGCCCTGGGAGAATGGCACGCAGCTGGCAGGTGGGGTGTGAGGAGTACGCGCGGCCCCCGCAGGGCAGGCAGCTGACCCATGTCCGAGGCAGTGCTGCCCCACTGGATGCAGCAGCCTCACCAGGCAGCGCCTGAAGTGCCCACCGGGCCTGCCAACCAAGAACCCACATCTCCGCCAGGTCTCCGGGAGATTCACGGCTCCCCGAGCCTGACCCATGGGCCTGGGCCGTACCCTGTTGTGCCTGGGGCGTCTCACACCTAAACGTCCGGGTCCTGCCCCAGTCTAGGGGCCTGGCACCAGCCTGTTTTCAGGCTCCCTGTGGGCTTCTTGTGGGCGCTGAGCTTGAGAGCCATGGACGCTGGGGCACAGAGGTCAACCAGCTCTGACGCACGGGCCAAGCCTGGCCCGCCCCCATGCTGGATGGCCTACGACCCAAGAATCATCGCATACTCTGAAAAAGTCAGATGGCCTCCCAGCACAGGAACACTGCGGGACTCCGCGGACCGCACAGCACCGCGCGGCTAGACGGCCGGGCAACCCCAGGGCACTGTGCCGCCCAAGGCTCTTTAACCAACTCGAGAGTGCGGGCAGCACCGCGGAGCCAGACCCCAGGTGGAATGTGCTCCTCAGGGGGCCGTTTTGTGGGTGAGTGGGGGCCGCATCCCTTCACCTGACAGTGCTCAGGGTAATGCTGGCGGCTTCCTAGCGCCCCCCACACACACCAGACGCCGAGACCTAGCCCCTGCCCAGCCAACACAGGGAGCCTCTGCCCCAACGCAGCTCCTCAGGACACGGCCTCCATGCTGGCCTTGCCGGTCGCCTTCCACACGTGAAGCCACCCCAACCACCAACACCTGTCCTCAGTGACCTCCAAGGTCGCCACGCTTTCTAACATCATCACCCTCCCCCCATATTCCCAGGCCCCCAGGCGAGCAGTGTCTGTCCCGCCTGCGTGAGGGGTGGGCTTGGCCAGCCCTGAGGGTCTCAGACCTTCATGCAGCACGAGTCCCGAGCACCGGCCTCTGGGACACTCCACCCACAGGCTCCGCCCACGTGGCGCAGTCAGCCTCCGCTGCCGTTCGTTCCAGCCCTGGTCAGCGTCGTGCGGGGAGGCAACCAGTTGATGTGTCTCTCTCACACTGATGTTTCCCTGTCTCTCCCTCCCTCCCACTCTGAAGATAAATAAAAAAATATCATCAGTTGAGGATTAAATTTAAAAAATAATAAATAAAAATGTTAAAAAAGAAAAAAAACTGAAAACTGAATTAGCCTCCGGGAAAGACTCTGTCGATGCTCCAGGGACATCCTGCTGGCCCAGGGCTGGGCACGCTCACGGTGGGCCATCGCCCTGTGCCTGTCAACCAGCCCCTGCCCAGCGGTCAGCTGTGCTCCAGGGACGCCACACACACACACACACACACACACACACACACACACACTGTGAGCCCAGCCAGTGGCTCCGCAGGTTGGAGCATCAATTCCCAGTCAGGGCACAGACCTAGGTGCATAAGGGTGGCAACTGATTGATGTTTCTCTCTCACATTGAGGTTTCTCTCTCTCTCTCCCCCTTCCTCTCTCTCTCTAAAAATCAATAAACACATCCTTGGGTGAGGATTAAAAAAACAAACCACCAATAAGAACACACTTGTGAGCTGCATGGCTGAGCCCAGCCTGCTGGACAGAGAAACCAGCAGACGACGACCAGGAGTGACCCCTCCTAGAAGCACAAAATGCTTCTTCATCTGCAAGAAGGAAGCTGGAAGCAGAAGGGAGCAAATGACAACCAGACCCTGTCCTGACAATGTCTCCTAGTGAGCGACCCTGGACAAGGAGGGGTGGGAGCAAGGGGGTGGGCCCCCAGCTGTCTCTCAGGACTTGCAACTGGCTAATCCACTGAGAGCCAAACACAGAGCCCTCGGGTGTGCCGCCCACGAGAGGCACCTTCACAAAGACCCCGACTGTCCACAGGGCGGACGGGGAGCAGCCACCTCAGTGTGAGCTGGATGTGAACAGCACAGAGCCAGCAGCCTGGCGGTGACATCAGCGGCCAAAGGGCCAGAAGCCCGTGGTAGGCACGCTTTGCTGGTAACAATGACTCAAAGCGGCTGGCCTCACGCCCCATGGGCCAGAGGGCAAGACATCTGTCCCCGTGCCCCACAGTCTGGTGTGGTCTTCAGTATGACACCAATGACCTTGGCTCCGGAGGGTTCCAGGGCCACCGCACGGCAGAGCAGCCCCGCCTGGTCACTGACACACCATGATGGTGGCACGGCCCCTGGTGGCCACTGAGGCTGAGCAGCACCTCAAGGCCACCCAGGCCCTTCTGCTCACAGCCCTTCCTCCGGGACCGCCGAGCTCTGCGCACAGTGGTCCTCTCAGGAGCTCACGGTGTCCTGGCACACCCCTCACTGCAACCGAGCGCCTTTATGGGACGTGACCGGTTTGGCTTAAGAACCCTCCCCTCTCCCAAAGTGATGACACCCTTCCCCAGGAGCCGCGCGTGAACGCCGGTGTGACCCACGGCCGTCCCGACCCTCCAAGTGCTGCTGTCTGCACAGGCCACCTGGGTGTGGGGTCGTCACACCCTGAGCGCAGACACGCACGTGGGTGGCTTGGTGGCACCACTTCCTCCGCAGGCCACGCTTCTCTTCAGACCTGCGGGGAGTTTACCTGGATGACACCAATTTACCCTTTAACACGGGGAGATGATGACAACTCCGACTGCAGAATGCTGCACCTCCCCGCGAACACCTCTACTTATGTAGGGCTGCCAGAACATGTTATTCTTCTCCAAAGTTATACACATTCTGTTACATTGACCCCCAACTTGTACTTTTGTTGCATCATAAATGGTATCTTTTTTTTTCTTTCAATCCTCACCCGAAGACATTTTTCTATTTATCTTCAGACACTGGGGGAGAGAGAGAGAAACATTGATGTGAGAGGGACACATCGACTGGCTGCCTCCTGTACGACCCCAACCAGGGCCAGGGATGAACTGCAACTGAGGTACATGCCCTTGGCTGGAATCAAACCCATGACTCATTGGTCCACAGGCTGACACTCTAACCACTGAGCCAAACCAGCCAGGGCGATGGTATCTTTTTTAACAAGGCATTTTCTCTTTGTTTCTGCTCTTGCATTCTGTCTTATACCCAGGTCTGGTGAACTCATACTAACTTGAAGATTTTCTGTAGATTCTCCTGACTTTTCTACACGACCTCAGCAAACAATAATCAGCTTTCTTTCTTCCTTTACTATTATGCTTTTTTAAGTTTCCTTATTTTACTGTACTGGCCAGTATTTTCAGTATAACATTTAATGTGTAAAGTGACAAAAAGACATTCCGCCTGATTGATTTTAAAGACAATGCTTCTAATGTTTCATTAACTAGTGTGAAGCCTCCTGAAAGTTTCTGATAGAAACCCTTCAACAGCCCTGGCTGGTTTGCTCAGCGGTTAGAGCGTCGGTCAGTGATCCAGAGAGACTGGGGTTCAGTTCCCGCTAAGGGCACATACCTCAGTTGTGGTTTGTCCCTGGCCCAGTTGGGGTTGTGCGGGAGGCAGCCACTCGATGTGTCCCTTTCATGTCAATGTTTCTCTCTTCCTCTGTATCCCTCCCACTCTATCTGAACAAAAATAGAAAAATGTCCTCAGGTGAGGATAAAAAAAGAAATCCTTTAACGAATTAAGAAAGTTCCCTCCAGTCCGGCCAGTGTGGCTCAGGGGTTGAGTGTTGACCCTGCACCAAGAGGTCGCCAGTTCGATTCCTGGTCAGGGCACATGCCCAGGTTGTGGGCCTGATCCCCAGTGGGGTCATGCAGGAGGCAGCCAATTGATGTTCCCTCTCATCGATGTTTCAATCTCTCTCTCTCCCTCTCCCTTCCTCTCTAAAATCAATAAAGAAAAAACATTTTTTTAAAAAGGAAGCTCGCTCCTGACCCCGGGTGCTAACCGTGTGCGCATCAGAGAGCAATGAATCTGACCCAATGTCCTCCATCTATCAGGACAACCACTTACTCTATGATAGAACAAATCGCAATATTTTCTAACACCCCCTTTGCATTCCTGAGAAAGCCCGACCCTCCATCACTGCAACAGTGAACAAAACCAAACACGGGGGCCTGACCCCTCAGTTCTGCACCGAACCAGCCCTCAGGACACACGTCCCATGAAGACGAGTGAGAAAATCACTCAGATGTTTTCATCAATGATCCTTTAAAATACCATGGAAACAGCCCTGGCCGGTTTGGCTCGGCAGTTAGCGCGTCGGCCTGCGGTCCAGAGAGACCCGGGTTCGGTTCCCACTAAGGGCATGTACCTCGGTTGCAGTTTGTCCCCGGCCCTGGTTGGTCGTGTGGGTGGCAGCCACTCCATGTGTCCCTTTCACATCGATGTTTCTCTCTCTTGCTCTACCTCTCACTCTATCTGAACAAAAAATAGAAAAAGTGTCCATAAATAAGTAAATAAATAAAATAAGATAAAATGCTATGGAAACAGGCCCTAGCTGGGGAGCTCAGTGGGCTGGAGCACTGTCCCCACACACAAGGTTGTGGGTTCGATCCCCGGTCATGGCACATACAAGAATCAATCAATAAATGCAGAAATAAGTGACCAACAAACCCATGTTTCTCTCTCATGGCTCAGGTGCTCGGCAGACATGGTGCTCACAGGCACTGGGCCTGTGAGGGTGGACACACCGTAACCGCAGCACCAGCACAGCCCAGCCCCCGGAGAGACGCTCCCCTAAGGTCAGGGCTGAGCACTAGGCCAAGTCCCAGCAGAGGGCAGCCCGTGCGAGCCAGCCCGCCGCCCTGGGCCCGCTGGCCCACAGCAGGAAGCAGTGAGGCAGGGTGAGTGCCGCTCCCAGCAAGAGGCATGTGTTAGGTCTGGACCCTGCCCCCGGCTCGCTAGAGGCCAAGGAATAGCCGGTGCTCACGGACGCCCCCCCGCCGGGGGAGGACACACCGGCCAACGCGGTACTGACCTCGTCCCGGTGTCTCTGACAGAAGACCAGGAACTGAGATGCTGCGTCTCCCTTTCTGCCTCGAGGAGCAGAGGCCACAGCCTTCTTCCTCCCAGGAGGAGACCCCACTTCTCTCCTGGCGTCGGCCTCAGCCCCCTTCTGCGGAGTCGTCACTGTCCCAGGGCCACCGTCCTGGCTTTCAGCAGAGCGAGACAGTTTGACCCTCCGCCTTCTCTTGACGGGGACGTCCTGTTCCCTCCAGGACCTGAGGTCCCCTGCGGTGTTTCCTACGGGCCCCACAGCAAGGCCTGCCTCCTGGGCCGCGTACGGGTTCAGGCAGAGCTGGTCCCCCACGTACAGGAAGGTGAACTTGGCCTTCCGCTCCTCCACTGACATGGCCGCGGCCGCTTCGGCCTGAAGGAGACCCGCTTCCCACTGCGCCCTCAATTTCCCCGAAATGGGTTTCAGCAGCTGAAACAGAACCACATGACCCTGTAAGTTTCACTATAAAAACAAAAGTAGCCCATTGTAATGGATACTTTTACAATCTCAGATACATTTAGAAATCAGAAACTATAAACCAATTAACTGGAAGGCTTTACAGAGTGCAGCTCGATAGAATAACTTTAAGTGGGAAATAAATTTTAATCACGTTTAACTAATGTAAATACACATGTTGGCGTATATTATATGTAACAGTATTATTTATGTATCCATAAAAGAAAACAAAAGTTATGAAACAAGTTATTTTTGGGAGTCATCAAAGGTGTAGAAAGAAACGTGTCATGGATTGTAACACAGTATCCTGGGCAGAAAGAAACAGCGACAGACTTCAAGAAACCCTAAGTTCAAGACAGGATCAATAATTAAGAATAAAAATCAGACTTTCGGTCTGAAATGGCACGTAAGGGACATCCACCTTGATTTTCTCAGCTTTCGTAGGCGCCTGCCTGGCGCTCTCCTGGCACAATTTTTCAAACTGTCCTTCTCCTTCAAATGCTACCAGGCTCTTCTCGAACATCCAGGCTCTCTCCGGGGCGTCGCCGAAGAACTGCACGTGATACTGGCGCGCGCTCTTCTTCTGACCTGGTTTCCAAAATAAAACGTCAGGACTTGAGGGCGAGAACTGGGGCGCTGGGGCAGTCTGTTGCTAATACTGACATGAGGTCACTCCACTAGGAGCCAAGGGTCACATCACATGACCTGCTCTTCACCCCTCCCCCCCCACCCCCACCCTCGCTCCGCACAGGGAGGACCCAGGTTAGGGTCAAAGCCGCTGGATCCTCCTCATCTCTTCCCTTCCCAGATCCAACTTAACAGACACCAAAGGAACAAGACAAGAGAGGACATCTCAAAGAGCCACTCAACAGAGAGGGGACTAGACAGCGGTGAAGGGGAGCGGGCTGGTGTCCCATGACCTGGTGCAAAGCCCAGCCCCACCTCCACCAGCTGGCAGCCTGCAGGCCACTCAATGCAGAGCTCAGAGTGGGGTAAGGGCACAGATGACCTCGGGGGGCAGCCGGAGGCACAGGGCCGCCTGCAGGTATCCACCCCTCTCTCAGCAGAAAGGAATGAGCCACACCCTACAGTGAAGCCAGAGGGACCTGGGCGAGGAAAGACACACCTGCCCCAAAACCCGAGAGTGGGATGCCAGACTGGGCTGAGGTGGAACAAGCTTGAAAATGAGTAAGTTAAGCTATCAGGTCTGACCTCTGCACCAATGGGGAGAAAGGGGTGTCCACTGGAGAAACACCAGAGGCAGCAGCCAACAGCCAACCAAACCTCTGCAATAAGTTAACGGCCCCTCCCAACACACAGGGACTGCAGGCTGCTCCAGGCGCTGCTCGTCAAACACAAGCCTGGTTTTAAACACAAACACACAAATGCGGTCTCTGCAGGGCGACAAGAACAGCCAGGAAGAGATCACACTCGAAGGAAACAGTCGTTTGCTAGGAAAAGCGAACAAAAAGCCATTAGAGATTAAATTTTTTTTTTATTATTGATTTGAGAGAGAGAGAAAGGAAGAGGGAGAGAGAGAGAGAGAGAGAGACATCCATGAGAGAGAACATCGACTGGCTGCCTCCTACACGCCCCCCACTGGGGATCGAGCCCACAACCTGGGCATGTGCCCTGACTGGGAATTAAACCAGCGACCTCTTGGTGCAGGGTTGACGCTCGATCACTGAGCCACACCAGCTGGGCGAGCCATTAGAAAATTTTAAGTACAATCATGAAAATAAAGTTCAACAAGAAAGCTTGGAAGGTAGGTTAAGAAATATCCGAGAGAAGAAAACGTAAGATGAAAAGCACCTGCTCTCATAAGGAAACTATGGGCCAACTAAGGAGGCACAATACCCAGTGACAGCCTGAGAGCGAGAAGCTCATCAGACAATTTACAAGAGAACATGTCTCAGCACCAACACAACCGAGAGCTCACCCAATCCCACGCCAGGGCACACCTTTGTGCCAGTCAAGCTGATGGGGGGGTGGGACAGCTTCCAGAGCTGTGCCATGACAGGCGGAGGGACAAGGTACTCTACTCGGGCAGCTCTGGATGCTAACAGGAAACCAATCCCTGAAAATTCTGAGAAAAGTTATTCTCGACATGAAATTCTACACTCAATCAAATCCACCTATCAGATACCGACAGACGTTGCAGCCTCTGAACAACAGGGACTCGAATTCCCTCCGTTCACACTGTCTTAGGACACCAAAAAGGTGCGTCGGCAAGAAAGGAAAACCGACTTAGGAAGAGCGGTGTGGAACCGCACAGACGCCGCCTGGATTCAGGAAAGCGTCTTGAGTCTGTTCAGAAACGAACACAGGCCGGCAGCAGAGAAGGAAGCGGGAACCAGGAAGGTCCCAGCAGAGCTCCGGGAAGGACAGATGAGACAAGACCTCCACGCACAGGACAGTCTGGGCAGCAGGGAAGAGGGTGAAAAGGTGAGATCCGCCCTGGCCAGTGTTCTCAGTGGTTAGAGCACTGGCCCGGGGACCAATGAGTCTCGGGTTCAATGCTGGTCAAGGGCAAGCGCCTCGGTTGTGGTTCCTCCCTCGCCCTGGTTGGGTCGTGCGGGAGGCAACCAGTCGATGTGTCCCTCTCACATCAATGTTTCTCTCTCTCTCTCCTCCCCTCCCACTCTATCTGAAGATAAAGAGAAAAACATCCTCGGGTGAGGATTTAAAAAAAAAAAAAAAAAGATCCAAGGAGCAGAAAAGGAAAACAGGAATCAAATACAAGGTTCCATTTTCTCCCCAGCTGAAGAAACTCATTATATAACAAGACAGGTTTTAAGGACAGAGAAAATAATCCTCGAAAAAAAATTAAGGCTGCGCAGGCAGTGTGGGTCAGTGGTTGAGCGTCGACTGATGCACCAAGAGGTCGCCAGTTCGATTCCCAGTCAAGACACATGCCCAGGCTGTGGGTCCAGTCCCCCAGTGGAGGCATACAGGAGGCGGCCAATCGATGTTCTCTCTCAATGTTTCTATCCCTCTCTCCCTTCCTCTCTCTCTCTCTCTCTCTCAAATCAACAAAGAAAGCAATAATAATAATAAAAACTAGAAGAAATTAGTGAAAGAATTAAGAGTAATTACTTCCTGGGAGTGGACGGAATGGATTTTCACCGCCAGCCTCTCAGGGCAACCTGACACGTTTATTAGTGTGGGTGCTGCTTTGATTTTTAATCAGCTATGACTCAAAAACATGCCAGCTGACTTGTGACTTCTTCCATTACACTTTTTAAAAAATATTCACCCAAGGATATGTCCATTGATTTTAGAGAGAGAGAGAAAAACATCGACCGGCTGCCTCCCTTACACACCCGGACCAGGGACAGAACCCCCAGCCTAGGTGTGTGCCCCGACCGGGACTCAGACCCGCGCCCTGCGGTGTGTGGACAACACTCCGATCCACTGAGCCCCCCGGCCAGAGCCCTCCCATCACACTGCCATGTTCTGCAAGAACTGTCCCGGAAAGGAACGCAGACACGTCAGGGCGCTGCCAGGACCAGAAGCAGACTGCGCACAGGACAGGGTGACAGGACTAACAGAAACCTCCACTTTCAGCCGGTGGAAAAGCTAAGAGGATACTGTGGCCCGATCCCAAATTTATCAAATAAAAGTAACATTTCCGACGTTCTTTCCAGCCTGAAAATTTGTTAAAATGTAACTCAAGTACCTCCTACTTTTATGGGTTTCTTGAATCCACAGGAAACTTATTCTGGTCCTGGTTGAGAGGTGAATAAGCCATTGTCTAATTTTACCACATAACCCACCAGTGGTCCTACCGCCACTTGGAGGCACCGTCCTTCCTGTGCCAATTCTGACGTTCACCATCACAGTTGTTGGTACAAAACACTTGTCACGGACTCCCCAGCCCACACACCTGCTGAGAGCACCTGGCCTCCACCGAGGGCCTGGGCCTAACTTGGCACCAGGGGCCCTTCCCTCCATCACGGCCCAGGGACTCAAGGCCCCTGAGCCTCTGGGCAAAGCCAGTCTTTCTGCAGGATCTGGGAGCCTCTGGACCGACAGCCGCCACTCCGGGGTGCAGAAGGCACCGGCAGAGACAGGCTGCTCAGAGCTGAAGGTCAGGAGGAAGAGAAGCCACACACGGAGACAGCCAGGTGCCCACAGAGGCCGGGACAGAGCACAGGGACGATCACAAAGACATGACGCCGGAGCCCCACGGGAATCACGGGAAGTACGCCACGCCCGGGTGCCTGGGTCCATCTCTGGAGGGCACCGGAGCCCCAGAGTGCAGGTAAAGCAAAAACTGACGGACCTGCAGGCAGAAGAGGGCACGCCCGTCACAGGGGGAGACTGTCACCCCTCTCTTAGTAGCTGATAGAACAAGCAATTAAAAAAAAAAAAAGTAAGGAGAATTTAGTATCAACCCAAGGCAGGAAAAGGCCAGACTACCTGTAATACTTTTAGCAAATGCTGAATTCAGGAATGAAGCAATGCAGAACCTAAAGTACTGTCGACCTCCCTCCACCGCCAGCTGCCGGTCCACCCAGACCCCTGCCCAGGAGACGGGCTGAGACCAGTTCCGCTGCTCCACGCACAGAACCGCCCGAGACCCCCGCGACTGGCTCTCGAAGGGAGGTGCCGGGCTGCAGCGTGGGCTGTGCTCTCTGCACACACACCGAACTCCACTGGTCAAGTCCCGGCAGCACTGAGATCAGGATTCAAGCATGGCTACAACCCCAAGCGTGACAGATGAACACAAGTACACACACACAGAGAAAAAGATGTGGGGTGGGAATTAGGGGTACGGCAAGAGGAAAGTGCCCTCCTCATGTCCCTGTCCTCTCCCAGCAAGGACGCCTAACCCCCAAAGGATGCCCCGCTGCATGCCGAGTGGGAGAATCGGGAATGGGCCGTGCCTCCTGCAGCTCCAACATGGAGGGCCCAGATCCGGGCTCCCGCACACCGTGCTCCACTGAGAGCACCCAGACGGGGATTCAGGGCACAGTGAGCCTAGAGCCTCTCATGGGCCCAGCAGGGAGCTGCAGGCTGAGGAGACGTGTAGAGGACGCGCTGGGGACTGGTGATGCACTCTAATGCAGAAGTCATTTTTTTGGAGAGAGCTCATTTTCACAGAAAAAAATGCCATCTACTTCAACAAGATAAGAGTGACAGTTACGGCCCTCGCCAGCTTGGCTCAGTGGTTAGAGTGTTGGCCCAAGGACCAACAAGTCACGGGTTCTATTCCAGCCAAGGGCACGTACCTCAGTTGTGGTTTATCTCTGGCCCTGGTTGGGGTCATGCTGGAGGCAACCAGTCGATGGGTCTCTCTCACGTCAATCTCTCTCTCTCCCCTACTCTCTCTAAAGATAAATAGAAAAATGTCCTTGGGTGAGGATGGAAAAGTAAACAGTGACAGTTACCATGTTAGAGCTGAGACCCGGGGAGGCTGTCAGGGACCCGCACTCCGCACGGCCACAGGCCCACGCTGTCGACAAGGCTGTGCCTCCCACCAGGGCCCTGGGCACGGACAGCAGCACCAGCTCTGCACCCGACGCTCTCCACCAGCACCTGTCCTCCTGCACTCTTCCATGGCTCCCGGGCCCTTTCGTCACTCAGCGCTCCTTAGAGTGGGGGTGGTCACCCGGCCTCTCTCTTCTGAGCTGCTTCTCCAATGCCCACGATCAGTCTCATAAAGTCGAAGTGCTTGTGAGTCGAGGGCTCCCTCCCCTACACCCCAAAACAAGTCCGAGAGAGGCTCCCTGTCAGGGCTGCCCCTTCTTCTTGCAAGAGCCCCTTCCGACAAAAACACCTTTGAGGCGCCCCAGCCTGACCACCAGGGGCCAGAGAGGCAGAGAAGGGCGGGGTCGGGGGCGCTGCTCCGACCGCAGGCGTGGCAACAGGTGACGTCAGCCACACACGGGTCCCTGAGCGTGGCCGGGTGCCGTCCTTGTTCACAGACCCTCGCTGGACCCTGCGGCGGACTCCCGTGGGTGCTCACAGACAGCGCTGGGTTCCAACAGAACCTTCAGGCAGCACAAGGAGAGGGCGGACCGCTGTCTGCCGCAGCCCCCAACAGGGGGTTTCAAAGGTTTTTAGATGGGAAAACAAACAAGCAGCCCGGCCAGTGTGGCTCAGTGGGACCCCGTACTCGCCCAGGGACTGAGAGGTCCGGGTTTGATTACCGGCCAGGGCACGTGCCCAGGGTGTGAGCTCGATCCCCAGTAAGGGGCGTGCAGGAGGCAGCCCATCAATGTTTCTCTCTCACATGATGTGTCTCTCTCTCCCTTTCTCTAAAAAAAAATCAATAATTAAAAAAAAGAAAAGCAAACAAGCAAATAAATAAAATCTCACACACACACAAGGTGACAGACAGAAAGACCCTAAAAATGGACGTGAAACTTTCAGAAGTCAAGGTCGAAGCCTGCCCTGCAGGGAGGTGACTGGTCAGGCGGGGGGGGGGGGGGGGGGGGGGGGCAGGCTCCGCAGGCACAAGGGGCTGGCAGCAGCGAGGCTGCCACCTGGTGCTCAGAGGCCGCCAGCCAGGCCTTCCCAACACCTGCGGCAGCATCGGCTCCTCTTCACACTGCGGGAGACCGAGGCCCAGCAGTCCTGTCGGTCCTTCCCAGACCCACCAGCTGCGTGGGACCCTGGCAGGGGCACTCGGGACAGTGCTCAGGCAGGGAAGGCCTGGAGCAGAGAAACTGCACAGCCCGGTGCTGGCCTGACCAACACTGCGGGTGGCTGCCGACACAGAGGAAGGTGTGCCGATGCTGAACTTGGGGTGATGACTCCGGCAGCCAGAACAGAGACATTCGCGAGACCACTCCAGCTCCAGGGCTCTGAGACGCCGGGCGTGCCGTATGAACAGGGCAGAAAGCCCCAGACACTGGGGAGCCAGAGGGGCTCAGGGTGTGCTGTGCAGACAAGGAACCCGGGCGTCACCAAGCCCACACTGACTTCACCTTGTGTGCTGTGTGGGGACCAGAGAGCCAGGAAGGAGCTGGCGGCACCTCACCAGCCCTCACGCCTGCGTGCCGCACCTGGCTGTGGAGGGGAAGCTCATCCCCAGCAAAAGGTGGGCACCCCGCTTCTGTCTCCAGCAGCATTCCTTTCACACTCCTCCGGTCTAGATGTGGCTGGGGAGACGCTGGGATCCCCAAGGCCCCCTGGAAGGACCCCAATTCTGGCCAGCCGAGGGTGCCAAAGATGCCCACGGAGCCCCCTCTTCTCCAGCTCTGTGTCCTGAGCAGGGTGAGCACACCGGACCTGGAGGCAGGGTCCAAGCACCCGGGCAGGGGCCTAGGCAGGAATGGGCAGGGGCACTCGGAGCTCCGGTGAGGTCCTCTCATCCGGAACTGCCCAGCTCTTCGCCAGGGAGGCACCACTGCCCCTCCCAGCAGCTGCCTGTGCCCACAGCTGTCCCGCTGAGCCCAAACCTGAGCTGTTCCTTCCATCTGAGGCCTCAGCCAAAGGCCGAGAGTGGCCGTGGACGCACACCCGGGGCCACACCAGGTCGACTGGCCAGAACCCGGCCCGGCCCACGGCTCTGGCTGCCCACCCGACAGTGCACAGATCACCCGGGGCCCCAACTCGCTCAGCTGCACCTCAGTGTCCAACTCACTGCACCCCCCGTCCTCCAGCTCCACTCAGACTTCACTCCAGAACGTTCCAGAACCCCACACACCCGACTGCCTGTCTTTTCCTCCAAAACATGACTATGTATCTCATGAGCAGCCGGTTCACTTCCGTGTCCATCTGCTCTGATCTGTAAGTAACACATCACGTTCTCAGCACGTCCTCCAGCTGCTCCACGAGATTTATGTTCCCGTTTCAGGACACCAAAGGTGAGCATTTCTAGTTTTTTCTTTCTTCCCCCAGGCCTAATAAAATTAACTGGGACATATTTACAATTCCAACTTAGTATATGTTATTTCTGAAAATTATGCTAAAATAAGCGACCACTGTAAGTCTAAACATAAATTATTCACCATCCAACCTGAAAAGCAATATGAGACAGAGACCACTCTCCTTTGGCACTAGTTTAACGCAATGAAAACACAACTGAGCCCTGGCCGGTTTGGCTCAGCGGTTAGAGCGTCGGCCTGTGGTCCAGAGAGTCCCGGGTTCGGTTCCCGCTAAGGGCACGTACCTCGGTTGCAGTTTGTCCCCAGCCCTGGTCGGTCGTGCGGGTGGCAGCCACTCGATGTGTCCCTTTCACGTCGATGTTTCTCTCTCTCTCTCTGTTCCTCTCTCTCTCTCTCTCCCACTCTACCTGAACAAAAAATGGAAAAATGTCCTTGGGTGAGGATAAAAAAAAAAAAAGAAAAGAAAACACATCTGAGTGGATAGAAAGACATGGAGCATCACCTCTGATCAATCACTAACTTCAGGTAAAGCTGCAAAAACGGACCCCAGTAGGCTCACCACCACCACCACTCAGGTATGAGCAGAGGGCTTAAACAGACATTCTCCAGAGTAAATGCACACGCGCCCAGTAGGCACATGAGGAAACACTCAGCGTCACTGATCGGGAGGAAATGCACATCAAGCCACGGGGAGCAGACAGACCAGAGGAGCGGGGGGCGGGCGGGCAGGCAAGTGCCTGGGGCTGCACGGTCCTGGAGATGGGGACCCGCACACACTGGGGCTATGCCTGACGTCACTGCGGCTGGAGCTGGCGGATCTGCACGCGAGGAGAAGGGGGGAGGCACAGCAGGGCTGTCTGAGGAAGAGGAAGGGAAGCTAGGGTCAGGAAGATCGAGGGCGGGAGGCGAGAAGCAGCCACGCTGCAGTACCTTTGAGCCGCGTGTAGCTGTGCAGGAGCGGGTCGGCCGAAACCATGCACGGCCACCAAGGGTAGCCGGACACCTTGGACCACACCAAGTCGCCAATGCTGTACTTCAACAGGTGCTCCTGGTCTCTGCCGGTGCCTGGGCAGGGCTCTTTCTTAGCTGGAATCTGAAAAGGAACAAAACATGTTCACTGACACATCCAAAACCCTCCAAGCCCAGCCTCTGTCCACAGGTCTGAGGGCTGGCCAGCTGGGGGTCCCTGCTCCCCACCATTCAGCTCGCAGTCCTGACGTCACCGTGGAAACCTCTCACCTCTCGCCCTCTGCTGACAGGCGTGGCTGCACAGAGCAGTCTCAACAGCACAAGGATGGCACCCTGCCTACTTTCCAGCCTGCGGGGTGGGCTCAAGGAGCTTTGCTCGCCTGGTCAAAGAACTCCCCTGGGACCCCGTACTCCGCACAGCCTCGTGCGCTGGCAGGGTCCGTGGCGAGGACACAGAGGGCCTGGCAGCGAGTCTCAGCTGCGCCCCTTGTGGCCAGAGCCCTCAGCTCTGAACCAGCTTCTCCATCACGAATCACGAAACACAGGCAGGCAGGAGGCTGGAGCTGACCCCGCGGCCTCCTCCCCAGCACCCTCCTTCTGCTCTCCAGGGGCCAGTCAGTGAGGCCCCGACCTCCCTCCTGCGCGTGAACTCCTGAGCCCCTACGAGGTCACATCCCTGGGCACACTGCCAGCGTCTCCACGGAGCCGGAGCACGGTGCGGAGGGTGGGCTCTCTGATCTGCCCAGCACCCAGCACTACATTACTGCGTCACCTCAGGCACACGACGGACCCCCAGATGGGCCACACACTCCCTCTCCGAAGGCAGAGACCGGGGACGGGCAGGAAGCACCTCACCAGCCTCTTGCTCGGAGTTGGCACAGCTGGGCGTGCTGGACGCCATGCACCAGCCCAGGCACCGAACACCTCTGAGCCGCCCGCCACCACAATGTGCCCCTGAGCTCAAAGACCACGTTTCAAACCCTCAAAGTTCTTCACTATTTTAACAATTTCAAGAAAATTTTGGCCATTTCATCTCCCATTTGTGGAATTTATCAACAAAATTCCTCGACTATCACTTTAAACTTTGTATTCCACCCTTGGTGGTGATGACGCCAACTCAGACTGGTTTCTGCTTCCCTCCCCCACACCAGCCCGGGAGCCGGAGGCTGCGGACCCTCTGCACTGCCTCTGCCATGGCCGAGGCTCTTGCTTCAGGGGAGCACACTCCTTTGAGGGGCAGGCCTTCCTGCACGTCACCCTGAAACATGACACGAAGCTCCAAGCTCTTCCATGGTGAGTTAGGGCTCTGTGCCCAGCTTCTGATGAGCGAGCTGCTCACACGCGTTCAGGTGCCGGCTCTGCGCGGGCTCCAGGGACATGACGGAGTCGCAGCCCAGGCAACCAGGAGGCGGGCCCTCTGCCGAGCCACGCGGAGGAGCCGGGTGAGGGACAGGAAGCCACAGGGAAGGGCGACAGGCACACTCTGGGGCACAGCTCACTCTCTAGATGGGATGGAGCTGGTCAGCCCGCACTGGGCACCACACACCTCTACTGACCAGACCAGGTCCAGGACGCCTCTTCAGAGGAGAACCGCGACACAGTGAGCCAGAGGGTCTGGCACGGGCCACCCTGGGCTCAGATGCTGGCTGGACCTCCTCTTACCATTCTGACCTAGGACACGCAGCTGACCCCTCAGGCCACACAGGTGGCTCCCAGCCACTGCGAGGCCACAGGGGCAGCACCGCGCACCCCAGCCACCCAGGCTCCCTCAGCAGCCAGTCCCCACCCCACCCTGAGCGCGGTGGCCTCAGAGGGCTCTCCTGCACTGTCCCCACCCCAGACAGAACGCACGGCTACCTTTCTGTCTGAGGGGCTCGCGGCCTCGGCCCCCAGCACGGTGACGGCAAGGCCCTGCTCCGGCGTGGAGCCCTGCTTCACGCTCCTCTTCCTGCTCCTTCTTGCCTTGTCTCCTGGCTTTGGTCCACTTTCTTCTGGCTGGGCCACTGCCGCAGCGCCGTCCCCACAGATGGAAGACTCAAAGAGAGGCTTCCCGTTCATGTACGTCTTGGTGATCTTCAGCTTGATCTCTGGAGAGCCGTTTTTGATGGGGGTGGTGCTGGGCGGGGTCCCAGCCCCTTTCGCTTCCTGGGACTCGAAGCGCAGTTTGGCATCGTGAGCACCGGGCTCTCCATTGAACACCCGGGAGGTCAGGTCCTTCAGCTTCTCCGCCGGGAGGAAGGGCAGCGCATCGTGGCCGTTGAATTTCCGCACGACACCCTCCTGCAGCGTGGCGGACAGCTGGGCTTTGCCGAGCAGCACGGAGCACTCCCGGTTCACCTCGCAGCTCGGGGCCTTCCCGGTGCTGCTGCCGAGGATTTCCGGAGCCTGCTTCATCCTCAGATACTTCACAACCTTCTGAACGGAAAGAGGACCTTTTTTGATGCTAAATTCCATTCAGTTCAGCTGCTTCGGTTCTTAGAACACTACACTGTCAGGAAAACAGAAGAAAAAGAATCGTTACGTTCGTAACCTAGAAGAGTATGCTGATGTCTCAGCAGCACTGTGGGTTTGCTTTGGTTTTCCTGAGCTAACACGCGATGTGCTGTGGAACACTTTAAGTCACGGGACGCAGTCCTAGCACCATAATAACGACAGAGGATGACGAGCGATAAAGCTGAAGAGAAAGGAGCAGCTTCAAGGAAGAGAGCACAGAAGTCAGACGCGGAAGCTCAGGCCAGGCCACCAGCTCTCAGCGCTGTGGCTGTGCACGCGGCAGCCGATCTGCTCCACTGTCCCAAGGCGGACATCACCCCCCGCCCAGTGTGCATGCCCGGGCGGCCAGCAGAGCCAGGCCTGTCGGGGGGGGGGGGGGGGGCAGCCTCCCAGGCACAGGTGCACAAGGCCACAAGCCATTCAGGGTTAAAACCAGCTGTTCCAACGCCTGACACACCATCAGGGCTAGACTGCTGGGGGGCACAAGTCAGGAGACAGCACCTGCCAGCACCCTCATCCCTGTCCCCACCCCACCCCCAGCCCTGCCCAGGCCCAAGCCAAAGGCCACGGTAAGAGTGGCCATACACTCCACACAGCCACTACCCAGAGATGAGCTCACCCAGGGCAGCTGCCACGCAGCACCGGCAACATGCATTGACCACAGCCCTGCAGGGGCCCCTCTGACCACACTGGCACAATGCAGGGGCTTCACTATATAGCTGTGGTCCCCAGGGAAGGCACCAAAACTCCGAAGGGCAGCTAGACAAGATGCGGGCAGGTGTGTGTCCCAGCAGGGAGGCACCCACCCGGAGTGCCCTGTGACGGCCACCAGTGAGCCCCTCCACCAGCCCGTCTGGAGGGTTGGGGCTGCTGCTGACAAATGCTGGCAGGGTCGGGGATGCTGCGGAACACCCTCGCACGAGCGGAGACCTCCCAACAAAGAGCTGTCTAGCCAGAGGCGCCTGTGGAGGTGCAGGCACAGCATGCGGGCGGGGACCAAGGCAAGAGTGACAGAGCCCAGCCAGTGCGCTCCATGCACTGGGCACACTGAGGAGCAGGTCCACTCACAGCCACGCTTTAAAGGTGTCAGGGCAGGTCCCTGTGCCGCCCACGTCCCACTGGACAGAGGCAAACACCACGCCTGCGGTGCAGCAGGGCCCAGCGCAGGGTGACTGGGGGGGTCAGCCCTGGGGAGGGGCAGTGCCCACAAGCAGCCTGCCTTTGGCTCTGTGCCAAAGACATGAGGCACCCTGACAGCTGTATGAGAAACAGGGCTTCTAACGAGAGGGTCAGGGAGGGGCCGCCGGAGGGGAGAAAGCCTTAAAAGGGGGGAGACTGTGGAAGGAGGATTCATGAAAGAGGAGAGAGCCACAGGTAGGGGAAACCCCCCAAAGACAAACAATCCAATTAAAACATGGGCAGAGAGCTTTTTGAGTAAATGCTTCTCTAGCCCTCGCCTGTGCGTTCAGTGGTTAGAGCGTCAGCCCGCGGAACAGAGGGCCTCGGGTTCAATTCCTGGTCAAGGGCACGTACCTGGGTTGCAGGTTCGATTCTTGACCCTGGTCGGGCGTGTGTGGGAGGCAACCCATCAATGTGTCTCTCTCTTTCTCTCTTTCCCCCTCCCCTACTCTCTAAAAAAAAAGGAATAGAGAAAATATCCTCGGGTGCCGATTAACAACAGCAGAGTTTCTCTAAAGACGGCCAGCAGACATATGAAACGATGCCCACATCACGAACCACAGTGAGCCAGCATCTCACACAGAATGGCTATCGTCACCAACCCACAAACAAACGCGGGCGAGGACGCGGGCGGGAACGCAGACGGCTGCTGCTCCGGAGACAGCACGGAGGTTCCTCGGACGTGTGCAGTGGGGCTGCCTTGCGACCAGCGATTCCGCCTGAGTATTCACCCGAAGAAACCCGAAACCCTGACCCTAAAGAACACCTGCACCGTGCTCACCGCAGCGTCATTCACGGCAGCCAGGTCTGGGGCAGCCCAAGTCGGTCCCCGGAGGAGCCAGCGAAGGAGGCGCTGGGCTGCTCAGTGGTCAGGGCGCAGTCCCGCTACACCAAGGTTACGGGTTCAATCCCCGGTCAGGGCACACACAAGAATCAACCGCTGGCCCGGCCGTGCGGCTCAGCCGGCTGGGTGTCGCCCCACGCCCGGGTTCCGGGCTCAATCCCTGACGGGGGGCAGGAAGCAGCCAGATCGATGCTTTACTCTCACTTCCATGTTTCTCTCTTTCTCCCCCTTCTCTCTCTAAAAATCAATTTTAGAATCTTTTTTAAAAACGTGAGTAAAGCCTTGGCTGGTTTGGCTCAGCGGTTGGAGCGTCGCCCTGCGGACCAGAGAGTCCCGGGTTCAGTTCCCGCTAAGGGTACGTACCAAAAAAAAAAAGTGAAGAGACAAGCCACAGACCAGGAGAAGCTTTGCAAAAGACACATCTAATAAAGACTGTTGCCCAAAATATACGAAAAACTCTTAAAATCCAAGAAAACAAAATAAACAACCCAACTGAAAAATGGGCAAAGACCCGAGCAGACACCTCACCAAAGAAGACACGTGGACGACAAGCCCAGTCCTCAGGGAGATGCAAACGGAAGCAGCGGTGAGAGAGCACCACGCACCCGCCAGACCGGCAGCACCCAGACCTGGCCCCGCATGCTGGGGGGGCCTGCAGGAGCCCCACTCGGTGCCGGGGGGGGGGGGGACAGCGACTTTGGAACACAGTGTGGCAGTTTCTTACGAAACTGCACATACTTTTCTAGTACGATCCAGCAATTGCACTCTGTGGTAAATTCCCGAGTGAGTTAAAAATTAGCCCTGGCTGGTTTGGCACAGCGGTTAGAATGTTGGCCCGTGGACCGGAGAGTCCCAGGTTCGGTTCCCTCTAAGGGCATGTACCTCGGTTGCAGTTTGCCCCTGGCCCTGGTTGGGGTTGTGTGGGTGGCAGCCAGCTGATGTGTCTCTCTCTCACATCAATGTTTCTCTCTCTCCCTCCCGTTCTATCTGAAAATAAATGCAAAAATGTCCTCGGATGAGGATTAAAAAAAAAATTGTCCACACAAAACCCTGCAACCCTGGGCAGTTTTTCTCAGCAGTTAGAGCGTTGGCCTGCGGACCAATGAGTTGCAGGTTCAATCTCAGTCAAGGGCATGTACCTCGGTTGCAGTTCATCCCTGGTGGGGTCGTGCTGGAGGCAGCCAGTGATGCGTCTCTCTCACAATGCCGTTTCTCTCTCTGTCTGTCTCTCCCTCCCTCACACTCTGCCTGAAGATGAATAGAAAAATATCCTCAGGTGAGGATTAAAAACAAAAAAAAGCCGGGTCGGTGTGGCTCAGTGGCTGACTGTCGATCCATGTACCAAGTCGTCACCAGTTCGATTCCTGGTCAGGGCACATGCCCAGGTTGTGGGCCTGATCTCCAGCCGGGGGCATGCAGGAGGTAGCCAATCGATGTTCTTTCTCATTGATGTTTCTATCTCTCCCTCCCTCTCCCATCCTCTTTTTCTAAAAATCAGCAAAGAAAAAAAAATTTAAAACAACAAAACCTGCACATGGATATTTACAGCAATATATTCATAATCACCAAAATTTAGAAGCAACCAAGGTGTCCTCCAAGTGAATGGATAAACTGCGGTCCACTCAAGCGATGAAATACTACTCAGTCTTAAACAGGAATGATGCTTGGACACCCGCTACGACGGGACAGACCTCAGATGCCATGCTCCGGGAAAGCAGCAGTCACCGGGACCAATGCTGTCGGTGCCCAGATGGTCAGAGGCCCGGAGACAGAAAGTGGACAGTGGCTGAGGAAAAGGGGGCCGGGGAGAGGGAAGTGGGTGTTCAGTGGGGACAGAACTCCAGCGGGGCAAGAGGCAAACATTTGGATGATGGTGGTGGTGGCTGCACCAGTGTGAATGTCCGACACCACTGAGCTGTGCCCTTGACAATGGGTACAACGGTAGACACTAGGTTGCAGATGTCATCACCAAAACACTGCCCTTGCGGAGCTACGTCCCAAAGGAGTCCCAGGGGAGACCAGGGTGGGCGGAGAAAACGCCATTGTCAAATGATAACAATGGAAACGGTTCCAGAGATGAGAGGAAACTCAGTATTTGGATTAAAAGAGCACCCGGGGCCCTGGCCGGTTTGGCTCAGCGGTTAGAGCGGCCGCCTGCTGACCAGTGAGTCCTGGGTTCGGTTCCTGCTAAGGGCACGTACCTCAATTGCGGTTTGTCCCCAGCCCCAGCTGGGGTCATGTGGATAGAGACCAGTCAATGTGTCTCTCTCACATCGATGTTTCTTTTTCTCTCCCCTTCCCTCTCTCCCTCCCACTCTATCTAAAGACAAATGGAAAAAAATATCCTCCAGCGAGGATAAAAAAATAAAAGAGCACCCAGGGTTCTGAACAAGATAAATAAAAACTAATCAATACCGAGATACATCATATTGAAACTACAGAACACGGCCCTGGCCGGTTTGGCTCAGCGGTTGGAGCGTCGGCCTGCGGTACAGAGAGACCTGGGTTCGGTTCCCGCTAAGGGCATGTACCTCGGTTGCAGTTTGTCCCCGGCCCCGGTTGGTCGTGCGGGTGGCAGCCACTCGATGTGTCCCTTTCACATCGATGTTTCTCTCTCTCTCTTCCTCTCTCTCCCTCCTGCTCTATCTGTACAAAAATGAAAAAATGTCCTCGGGTGAGAATAAAAAAAAAACAAAAAACTACAGAACACGAAGGATAAAAAGAAAACCTTAAACCTAAGTGCCCATGGAAAATAAGCTAGTGGCTCAGCCCCAGCCCGAGACACAGGGCACCAAGTCCACCCCCCAGCAGACGGCGCTCCCCCAAATCATAGCTCGAACTGAGGCGAAGACTCGGGCGATTGCGACGCATGTCCCTTCCACGACAGACACCGGAAGATGTCCTGAGCAAGAACACGGCCCAGTGGGAAGCCCCGGATGTGGGAAGGAGGAAACAGGGGTCATTCTGAAACAGTATTTATATTTT